GATTTGAATTATGTTGGCTATAATTATATTGGATTAGGGTACGAACATAGTGGAGGCAGGTTTCTGCTTACCGGCAACCAGCGCCGTCTCAGGGTACCTATTCTTGACCACTCGCATCTTCAAATATCGCTCACATCTCGCATCTCCGAAAAAGCCATATAACAATACACGTGATGCGTAACTTTGCATATATGCATTACGTGTATTGTTATATGGCTTTTTCGGAGATGTGAGCAGGGTTCGGAAGTAGTTAATTAAGAGGAAATTTACCTGATTAACTAACCTAACCTAACCTAACCATATTCAAACGCTGCGCCCGCCGCGCCGCACATAGGGGTATTTGGTCTATAAACCTGGCCAAAAGTGATATTTTTTTATTTTCATTTTTTATCTTAACTGAATACAAATCTATAAATACTAAATGTAAGCACGTTTATTAGCTTTTTTTAAGTCGTAAGTTGACTATCAAATAAATAATATATTTCAATTATAAGTATGAATTATCTTGAGTGTATTCTGAATATTTCTAAGATTATAAAATAGTGGAATTGTTTGTAGTGCTTTTTTTGCAAATTGTTTATAATAACTGTCATGATGGATACAGAGCCAGCTGGCAAGTCCTGTTTTATGCCATATTTTTTTTTGAAACGTTTCCTTCTATTCTATTTCTTTATAATGTTTTATATTTAAAAAATCAGAGGCATTTTTATAAGGTGTAAGACTATTCGGCAATATTCCGCATTGAAATTAGTATCCGTTCAATGCTTAAAGTCTCCAGCTTTGGAATATGTACAAAAATCTTGCCAATATTTGCCACTGCCAAAAAAAACATTGATTTAAGTAGATTCTTAAACGAAATAGTCTTTACCCTATAACACCCATCCTCGCTCAAATATCGTCTATAATATACAAATTACTTTCTTGTTCTAGCAATAATATACTACCCTTAAAATACTTGCACTTATTTCTGGGACACCCTGTTTATAACAATACACGTGAAGCGTATACGCAAAGTTACGAACGATGTCAAGAATAGGTACCCCGATTGGCGCCGACTACCAGTAAGCGGCAAACCTGGTTGCACTGTGTTCGCATACTTAGGTTATAATGTTGTTGATTCTAAACAATAGTTTTATTAGAATTAAAAATGACACTTTTTGTTGCGAGGCTGTACGTTTGACATTACAGGTAAAACACAAAAAGTAATTTTTACTATAGATAGAATTCTTTTTTTCAAACGTTCACAAAGAGTTTCTTAAACAATTTTCAACGTTGCAAATAATATAAAAAGATTTAAAACTAATATCCTCGAAGTAATTATTAATCGAGAAATTATGGTTAAACACGTTGAATTTGACATTTTATGTATGTCAGTTTAATATATTTTCGTACTTTTGTGCTTAGGCGTAAAAGTGCGTTACTTTTATGCGTAGGCGTGAAAATGACTTTTTTATGTTGCAATCACGTGGCAGAAATTAATACTTTTGTGACGTTTGAAAAAAAAACATTAATTTATAAGTTTTATAACACGTCTAATTAAATTTGGATGGAAGGAATATTGTTGATAGCTGTTAGTGATGTGTCGGTATTTGAGTAACGCGATTTTGGAGCGGTATTTTTTTGTAAAGTCGTGCCGCGCTCCACAACGAATCAGAAACCTGTTACTGAAGAACGACGATCATAATTACGACAAAATTATAAATTATTTATAATCGCTCTTGAAGTTAGAATTTAGAATAAGTGGGAGGGGGGTTAATCTCTGCGACCTTAGAGATCTATTGTGTCCCCCTTTCTTGAGTTATAACTCATCATACAGTCCCAGGGCTTCCTACGGAGACCCGTGTCCCTCACAGTCGAGGAGCTACGACCCAGGCCGGGTAGACGAAACGGTAGCTTGTGTCGCCTGTTGGGTTTAGAGGTAGGAGGTAGGCTCCCGACCCTTGGAGGAGGTGGTAGCTTGTATGCCACTTGCGGAGGATGGTCTCACGCAAGTGTCAGCCACCTCTCCTGTAGTTCTCTTAGGGTTTGGCCCCTTGGAACTTTCATTGTTACTGTTCCCAGTGTCGCTAGGGGGTTTCTCCACAGCTTCACCGGTGATGTTTTTATTACTATTATTACCAGATCTCATAGTATTCCTATGAGTCGCTAGGGACAATCGGTCCGTTTCTACAGAGCCCCGCATGTAGAAGTAAGGGGTAAAATACAATGGGGTGCCCCTCGGTGCCCCAAGGTTGAGGCTGTCCGTAGCCCCGCACGGTATCGTTATATGTCTTGGTGCAATTCCCTGGCCACGACACTACAGTCAGGGACAAGACGATGAGTGAGATGCTTCTTAGACCAAGCCAAGTGCTAGGGGGGATTCCCCCCAGCACCTGACCAGGAGCTTCCCCACCAACGACAAGGTCTTGCATCTCCTAGGGGAAGGCTCTTGAAGTTAGTTGGAACCGTAGTAACCGCATAGCGACGTGTTTAGCTCCAGCCGTCGCGATTTCGTCGGCCGCCAACAGTAGTAACTGGCACTGGTATGTACGTAGCGTCGCGCGTGTTCGCTCCAGCCGTCGAGCTCCTAGAGCTGCAGTTCCGCCTGTCGCGAACAGAAGGAACTGGTAACTGATTAACGACGCTCGACCTCGGCGCGGCGGCGACGTAATTTTGCTCGAGCCGTCGCGCTCCTAGAGCCGTAGTTCTGTCTGTCGCGAACAGAAGTAACTGGTCCCTGCTGTAACTGGCTATCGACGCTCGACCTCGGCGGTGACGTACTTCGTTCCAGCAGTCGCTGGAGCGCATCTAGGGTTCCGGTTTTGCCTGTCGCGATTTGATCGGTTACAACTGGCTTTGGTGCTCCCGTCGCTACGTTACTTTCGAAATAGCGATTTTTGGTATGTAATAGGCATGGTATAAAATAGCGTTGTTTGAAAGATGAAAGGCAAAAGCAAATAAAATAAAATAAAAATATTTTATTTGCTTTTATACATTTACATAAGTTTTATTGTTTATATCTATTTTTAAGGTTAGGTTAGGCCAATAAACAATTTTTTTTGACAGTGGTTTGGACTTTTTTCTTGATTTTACCAAAATATATTATATTACAATACACATAAATATGATCCGTTGATTTTATTTAAACGAAAATTGATGGAAAATAACAAGGAATGTCATCGTTTTTCTAAAAATGAGATAGATTGGTTATACACAATTATAAACTCGATATTTGGAAAATGAGTGGCGGATAAAAGTTACATTAATCTACAAATATAGATAAGTTAGATATAATTTTAGCGAGGACCGCGACACTTTGGAATTCGGAACCTCGGTTACAAAATCGCGGTATTTTTCTGGAACGGTCGCTATTGTAACGCGACTCATGTAGAACCGGTATTCCCATCACTAGTAGCTGTAGATAATTTTCTCAGAAAAAATACGTAAGTAAAAAGGATTTTTTAAGTGAAGAAAAGTAAAAAGGACAAGTTGTTCCAAAAAAGGACTGTCCTTTTCAAAAAAAGGCAGGTGGCAACCCCCCCCACCCCTACAATCTATAAATTGGGTTGAATATTAGGCTTTTGGATTAAAAACGTCACCCTAAAAAGCATAATGTACATTACTTTTTTTTTTGGCCACTCCTAAAATAAAATCCTGTATCCAGATGTACTAGAATGTATTTCAGGGAAATATTTTTACTTCTACAGGGTGGCTCAAAAAAGTGTGAGTGGAGGAACACCCTGTATATTATTGCATTTTTGGCTTCCTTTCAGATCACTTTATATAATTCTAGAGATATTAATAAATAAATAAAAAATATTTTTTTTTCATCCTTTCTTTTAAAAAGATTATTAAAAATACAATAATTGTCTTGAAATTAAAACTATATTAGGTAATTACTTTAGATGGTTTGTACTTACTTTGCTAAAAATATCGTAAAATCTTACAGGATATTTAAAATTCTATGCCACAGTTACTAAAAAATATAAAATAATTTATCATTTATGCAATTTTTTTCACGGTTTAGCAGGTACTCGTGTTATTATTTCATATAATTCTTTCAACGATAAAATACGAGAGAAAAATCATGGGGTGGCTTTGATAAAAATTTACTGTGAAAAATGCCATAATATGGGGTAGTTCCTTATACTGTTACTAGCGTGTACCCGCGACCTTCGTTCACGTCGAATTAATCATTTGTAATGGTGATGAAAAAGCAAAGCAAGAATTACCATTAACATACAAACTGGATAAAATTTTCTCATATATATAAATCTGTTTGCCAAAAATAAGCTTTTTACGTCAAGCAGTTTAAGCAGAATCGTGGTTAATCAATTACCCAACTTTTTGGAACACCCTGTATGATTTTTTAAAAAAATTCACAATATGTAAAAAAAACAAAATAAATTATTATGCGTGTCCAAGCGTTTTCCCGAAAGACTAACCGTTTTTTAAATAAGAAATATTGTAATATTTAAGGGGCGTTTTCACCCTCTTGGAGTTTGAGATTCGAGAAACCCCTCCTTATCCAATCTTTACACCCCACAGTCAATCCGTTTGTCAAAAATCAGCTTTAAACGTCAAGCAATTTAAGCAGAATCGTGATTACTCAATGGTCATATTTTATGAAACACCCTGTATAAATTTTTAAAAAATCTTAAAATATGTAAAACAACAAAATAAAATATACGTGTTTAAGAGTTTTTCCGAAAAACTCACCTTTAAATAAAAAATATTATAATATTTGAGGGGTGGTTTTAGCCCCTTAGAATTCGAGTTTCGAAAAATCCCTTCTTATCGAACCTCTACACCCTAGAATCAACCTGTATGCCAAAATTGAGCTTCTTACGTTGAGTGCTTTGAGCAGGATCGTGATTAATCAGTGAGTCAGTCACTTAAGGATTTTATATATTAGTATAGACCTTATATTGTTATTGCATTTTAATATTTCCTGTATTTGTTTGTAAGTTATTTGAATTTAAAAAAATACATATTTATTTTTTAGGTTTTTTGGATCTGTAAAGACTGTTTTAGGTTTTTGGTTATCAGTTATGACAATCAGTGTTTTATTGTATATGTTTTATACAATTCTCAGTACCTTTTCTGTAAGTACTAAGAAATAACTAATAATTATCAGTAACTAATTAATGCAGAAGAACTAATTTATAGCCAGCATTTGGATGGGTTCAGGTCATAATAGGAAATATAACATTTCAATCATGGATATATTATATTTGTGATCATGGCCAAGATCTTGTCACTACGGTAGGTAATAACTAACCAATACATATTTTGATTCTTAATTTTTCTTTGGTTTACCGGTATTTTAATCCTTTTTGAATTCATTCGACCAAAAAAAGTCGAGGTGCGATGGAATTCTGAACATAAACAAAAACAAACCCAAAATTTATGATACCTGCAAAAAAGTTTCAAATAACAGTCAATACAGTATCACGGTCTAAAACAGTATTAGACAGCGTCAGAAAAAGAAGTGGTACGCGCTTATTAAATTAAATTTATTAAAGTTTCTCAGGTTTAATTAAGGTTTTGTGGGAGTTCCATTGTCGTGCCGAATAAGAAGTTTAATTAAAGTGAGTTTATTTTATCTCACTGAGCGACTAGTTGCATGGTTACTGTTTATTGTTTTTATTCTGATATATTATATTTCTGAATCTTAGATAAATTTTAAGATATTTGATTGAATATAAAGAAAAGATGATTTGCAGATGATAATATTGAAGTATTTCTTTATAGTGATTTATTTATATTTGTCTATGTGACTTTAATAGAAGATACAAATATATTTGTGTATTAAAATTATCAAATTGATCTTGATTGAATTATGTTTGGCTCTCTTACTTTCTGCAGTTACCCTGTGTAGCGTAGTTAGTCGCGTAGCGTAGTTAGTCTTGAAGAGTAGTTATTCCCGTAGCGTAGTTTGGCCTTTTAACTTGTGTATTATATTTAGCCTGTGTGGCGTATTCTCTGTGTGAGAATACTCTTTGTGACTAGCCTGTGTGGTATATTCTCTGTGTGAGAACAGTCTTTGTGACTAGCCTGTGTAGCATATTCTCTGTGTGAGAACAGTCTTTGTGACTAGCCTGTGTGGCATATTCTCTGTGTGAGAATAGTCTGTGTGACTACCTGCCTGTGTGGCGTATTCTCTGTGTGAGAAGTTTGTGTGACTACATGCCTTTGTGGCATATTATTATTGTTTTTAAACATGTACCTGTTTAATTTTAAATTCACCTCATTTTAGTAATAACTGGTAACATTGTTGCTCGCACGATTTTTCTCTTTAATTGCAGGTAGGTTATCTCGGTAGCCAGGTCATACAAGACTTTTGTTGCTATACAACATTTGTCGATTTGCAGCGCCCAGATCAAAGTTGGCTATTACCATTAGTAACGCACCATCTATTAATATTATTTTTATTTTATATTATTAATATTTGATTATACAAAATTTACGCCCTTTAAATTTGTTTTATGATTTTTATTTGTAATTTTGAGTTGACAGCTTGAAAAAAAAAACTTTTTTGACCTTACATTTGAAATTTTATTTTTATGGTAATAGTCCAAGATGCCAAGCTTGCATTTTAGCCCCCTGTATATTAGTAGACTCTTCTTTGTTCCAGTGGGAACAGTTGCAAGAGGGGGTGTATTCTATGGAATGGTACAAGTGGAATATGGAAAATATAAAAATCTATCGCACATTTTCACTAAACATGAAAGCAGAACCGCTTAAATTATCTGCCGTATTGGAAATCAATTTTGAATTGTTTAAAGAAGTATGTATATAACAATATAATAATAGCTTCCGTATATAGCGTTTAACGCCCTGCCTGGAGTAGCAATGTACAGCTTGTCATGCTAGAGCTGTTCGATATACAAGGAAGGTAATGTAGTTAGAACCATGTTAGAACTACACTTCAACCGCCTATTATGAGAAGTATGTAAATATAAATCATTATCTTTGTAAATTATTGAATCAAGTTTGCAATGGCTTAGAAATGAAAAATCAGTGGCGTCCGGGGTATCTGTAGCTCGTATATAGAATAACAAACTTGAGAATTTTGTTTAAGTGCAATGTATTTTTAGGAAAATATTTTAACTTCTAAAGGATGGCTCAAAAAAGTGTGAGTGGATCGGGATGATTTTTTTACAGAACACCCTGTATATTATTGCATAATTTCATAGATATTAATAAATAAATAAAAAATATATATTTATCAGCCTTTCTTAAAAAAAAATATTAAAAATACAAGAACTGTCCTTAAATCAAAACTATATTAGGTATTTACTTTAGATGGTCTGTACTTACTTTTCTATAAATATGGTAATCATAAATCATACAGGATGAGCATTTTGAATTACTTTAAATACAAAAAATGATTATTTTTTGTATTTTAAAAAAAGTTATATAGGGGTGAGCCACTTTCGAGACGCACCCGGTATATCGAGAAACTATGGTTACGCTCGTTGAATTTGACACTATATGTCAGTTAAACTATGGTTAATATTTTCGTACATTTTTGTACTTTTATGCTTAGGCGTGGCTTAGCCCACGGCCACACAGAAAGCGTTTTAGAGTTTTGCGTTTTTTGCGTCTCAAACACTTTTTGCTATTTTACCGTTTTAAGCGCTTTTGTCAATTTGTGTCCATTAAAAACTTATTAAAAACACGCAAAAGGCGCGGCAGGTCTGCAATTTCTATCAAGATGTCATTTAGTCGTAGTAACGGCGCGCGTCGCAAACTCGTGGATTCCCGGCCCGTCCAACAATCAATCCTGTGAGAAAGAGATAGGCGAGATCGGCGCCGTTAGCGTTGAAGAGACGAAGATAAAAGATGCTGGGATTGATTTGTGGACGGGCCGGGGAATATATTCGGAGACAAACACAATTTACTGCTAGTGCCAGTGGTGTGTGTAAAAATAATAATTATTATTTGCCATTTATTTTACGAATTTTAGTTTATATGTGTATAGTTTTTTATTTTGTAGTGTTGTGGTTAGTACTTGTTATAATTATAGTATAATATAATAAATAATTATAATTATATAATAGAATAGTAAATATTTCTAGTTGCTAATGCAATTTTAGGACATGATTTATGAAACATTTTGGAGTGAAACTTCTTTACGCGCGCTGGGAGTAAACATTCAGGGCCGTGACATACGAGCTAGCGAGACGGCCCTGACACACGAGCTAGTTGTAACGAAAGGTGTTAACGGCTTAGAAATACGTAGTGACGCGACTTATTGTTTCTGGTAAAAAAACTTTTTTACGCAAAAAAAATATTTTTTACGTGTAAAAAAACTATTTGTTACACGTAAAAAACTATTTTTTTACGCGTCAAAAACTTATTGTTTCTGGTAAAAAAACTTTTTTACGCAAAAAAAATATTTTTTACGTGTATAAAACTATTTGTTACACGTAAAAAACTATTTTTTTTGCGCGTCAAAAACTTATTGTTTCTGGTAAAAAAACTTTTTTTACGCATAAAAAACTATTTTTTTACGCGTAAGAAAATATTCCTTTAATTTATTACTTTTTCAACATTTCAAGCTACATTTTTTCAAACATTTCCTTCAAATTTTTGAATTTAATAGAATCTTCCTAAACAGTAGATGTTCTCTATAAAAATATTTTTAGATAATATCCTAAAATGAAAAAAAAATGAATACTATTTAATTTAATTTTTATTGCATTATTAAATATTACGTCCGCCTATGACGGGGTCTCATAGAAAACGCTAAAGACTGCTACAGAAAACAAATTGATTTGTTTCCATTTGCGTTTTTTGCGAGACACGCCGAACGCTAGACGCTTTTGGTGGGGCCACTCCTATATAATCCTGTTATTTTGTTTTAGACGCAAAAGACGCTTCACGCTAAAAACGCAAAAAAACGCTTTCTGTGTGGCCGTGCTTTAGTTTTATGCCTAGACGTTAAAATGACTTTTTTATATTGGCAATCACGTCGCAAAAATTAATACTTTTGTGACGTTTGAACAGAAAATGTTTTTCCTCTTGTAAAGACAATTCGAGGACATACTTTATAAACATTAATCAATAATGGATATATTTTTTCAGATTGTAAAGATGTTTTACTCTTTTGGGAATATCTTGTATTCTACACAACATAGAGGAGGTTCAATAAAAATCGCTTAGAGCACAAGAAACTCATTTACATTTCGTAGTTTCACACAGATTTGCTTAATATTAGAAAGAAAATTAGTAGAACATTTTCTGTAGCTATTCTAGTGATACAAATAAAGATAAGTTAAATCTTATAAGTTATATTTTATTTTTTTAAATTTTAACCAGCCTTGTAGAAGGGCTGTTTGATGTATGTCAGTTAATTTAAAAACACCCGACAGTGTCACCCACTGTCACCTAAGCTAACAAAAATGAAATTTTCGTAGAAAATATCAATAAGTATGAATCACAAGCCCGAAAAAAATTCAATTTCTTCACCTTCGGAAATTGAAAAGAAAATTCGATCATTAAGAAAATCTAAACGTCTAAAGGAAATCGATGAACTAGTTCGAAATGCTTGTAAAAAACTGGATCCAGTGATGACAGTGCTTTTAGATAATAACAAGAACTACGACCACTATTTAACAAAACAAGAATACGAGAATGTTCTTACTGCATCTACAATAATTAAAGAAGTAATTGAAATTTTTGAATCATCCGGAATGAAAACAGACATCAAATATTTGGATTTCGAATTAGAACGTATCAATCTGAACGTTAACAAGAAAGGAAATATATTTGTTGACACTATAATGCTTATACAGCTTATTGATTTATATAATATTCTAGAAAATATCAAAATTTTCGTGGAAAAAATTCGTAGTTCATCTGGTATTAATTCCATAGTTCAAACAACCGAATCATTAACATCATTTGATGTAGAAGAAGAACTTTCTGATGTTTCAGACCCTAATAAATTCACTTTGATGTTGACAGAAGATGACCAGAGTATAATCGATATGTTGAATCAGGAGTATTTCGTTTTTCCTTCAACTACAGAAGTTGACAACCGCGAAAAACCATCTGACATCAACAATGTACAAAGTGCCAATAAGGTTGTTATTAAATGTATCTATAATCTTCAGGAAGTGAGCAAATATTTGGGAATTGAGAAGAAAGATGTGTACACTGTGTGCTCAAGAGCTGAGGTTGAAGATGTTCATCCTCACACGAGTGAGCGTAGACACAGTCCAGTTCATAAAGCTAAAGAGGATACGGTTGTAGTTGGTAATAAATGCTCTTGTGCGGATTGCATGAAGTCTAGGACTGATGGAGAGGTAAGAAATACTATTTTCTTGTATGCAAATATACATGGTGGAATGTATTGCAGTGGCGTTGCGTGAATTTTTGCTTTAGGCATGCACTACGAGGTAATAATAATATTAAAAAGCGTGAGCCCGCAGAAGGCGGATTTTTTCGGTATTGGCCTCAATATTCGCCTAGAAATCGTTTAAAATAGTTAAAAAACGGCTCTCTATGAAAATATGATTTATTTAAAACTAGCGTGTACCCGCGACTTCGTTCGCGTCGAATTAATCATTTGTAATGGTGATGATAAAGCAAAGCAAGAATTTCCAATAATATACAAATTTTCTAACATTTATGTCAGCATGAGAAAAAACAATATGGCGATTACTAAATTACCCAACTTTTTGGAACACCCTGTATAATTTTTTTAAAAATTTCAAAATATGTAAAAAACAAAATAAATTATGCGTGTCCAAGCGTTTTCCCGAAAGACTAACCGTTTTTTAAATAACAAATATTGTAATATTCGAGGGGCGTTTTCACCCTCTTGAAATTTGAGATTCCAGAAACCCCTCCTTATCGAACCTCTACACCTCACTGTCCGTTTGCCAAAAATCAGCTTTAAACGTCAAGCGGTTTAAGCAGAATCGTGATTACTCAATGGTCATATTTTATGAAACACCCTGTATAAATTTTTAAAAAATCTTAAAATATGTAAAACAACAAAATAAAATATACGTGTTTAAGAGTTTTTCCGAAAAACTCACCGGTTTTTAAATAAAAAATATTCTAATATTTGAGGAGTGGTTTCACCCCCTTAGAATTCGAGTTTCGAAAAATCCCTTCTTATCGAACCTCTACACCCTAAATTCAATCCGTTTTCCAAAAATCAGCTTTTTACGTCAAGCGCTTTAAGCAGGATCGTTATTAATCAATGACCAGATTTTTCGAAACACCCTGTATACATTTTTAAAAAATCTTAAAATATGTAATAAAACAAAATAAAACATACGTGTTTAAGCGTTTTTTCGGAAACTTGACCGTTTTTTAAATAAAAAATATTGTAATATTTGAGGGGTGGTTTCACCCCCTTGGAACTGGAATTTCGAAAAATCCCTTCTAATCGAACCTCTATACCCTAGAATCAACCTGTATGTCAAAATTGAGCTTCTTAGGTTGAGTGGTTTGAGCAGGATCGTGATTAATCAGTGGGTCAGTCACTTAAGGATTTTATATATTAGTATAGATTAAACTCCATTCTTCCAGTTTTTTCACAAAAAAAACATAAAACTATTCAGAAGTCCAAAACTCGAAATAAAATCAACACTATTCGTCAGCGAAACAGAGACGCAAAAAACTTTCCCGATCTGCCAACCTGCGACTAAAACAAAACAATTATTATGCGAGCATGCATAATGTTTTGGTGCATGCATTTGCCGGGAAAGCAGCGGCCCAATCCTGCAGAATCGATGTGTGCCTCGACCTCGACGCGCTTAGTATACGCGTAAAGTACGTCTGCTGGATCTGTGTCTATGAAAGGAATGCGGACAAAAAACATTTAAATAAACAGCAATATATTTTATACGTCGACTTGACGAGTACGTCATCGCAAATCGCTCCCACTCATTTTATTGGCTACTTGCAAATTTGTCGAATTTTTATTGATGGGACGCTTCGTCTATTTTTTTACGAAAATCATCGAGAGAAAATCGTTTCCCCTCTCACGGATACCCCTTAGCTACAGAACGGACAGACGTACTGTATCTGTTGTGATTGAATGCACATAATAATCATGCATGCAGTAATTTAAAATTAAGTATTTCCGTATTTTGGTACCGATTATGGGATTATGTGGCACAGTATATTATTTACCTATAGGAATAGAAAGTATTGATAATAAATAGTAGATTTTTAAAATATGCGAGGCAGGGTGTTCCTCGATGACATGCTAATATTTACGGGGACATTCTTGGACATACTCTAAGAAAAAACTTCATATGAAGGTATGTCCTAAACATCTTAACTTTTGAGATATAGGGTGGTAAACTTCAAAAAAACTTTTTTTTTTCATAATAACTCCGATTAGGGAATGCAATCCCGCACCAAAATCTCAATCCCACAAACCCGCGGGATTAAAGCAATCAATCCCGCGGATCCGCAAAATTGCGGGATTGTAAACAATAAATGCTCTTCTTTTCTCTCTTTGATTTTGGGATGCAGTTTGGACCAGGTTTTAGACGCATCTATTGTGATTAAGATGCTATGTGGTTTTCGAAAATATATTTAGCGAATTCTCGTATACAGGGTGTTTTATAATAGTGTACAAATTTGGTCAAGAATTTTTTTTACCGAAAATTTACAATTTTTGAAAAATCGAAATTTTAACTATGTACGACTAATATCTGTATTGAAAATAGAAAAAATAATTTGGTGTTTTTTTTTTAAATTTTTTGTTTTAATATAAATACGAGTTTTTTTTTCGAAAAATATGCATTTATAGTCCTAAATAATACATTTGGTCCTAAATGGTACAAAAGGCATTGTACATTTTGCATAGGCCCACAAACTACTGATATAGCGTGTATCTTCTAGCTGTACAGAAATTTGGACCGATGTATACAGGGTGTTCAAAAAATATATTTAATATTAAATAAACTTAAATTTTATTATAATTTATCTACTTATTTTATAAATAAAAATATTATTCTGATGGTGAAGATTTTTTTCAACTTGTGTTAGTTATCTGCTTTCAGATACACTCTATATAAATAATTTTTTTGGCATATGCAGAATGTACAAAGCTTTTTGTACCATTTAGGACCATCGTATGACTAAAAATGAATATTTTTCGAAAAAACATTGTATTTTCCTTAAAACAAAAAAAAACGATCAAATTGTTTTTTTCTAATTTCAATACAGATTAGTCGTACTTGGTAAAAATTTCGATATTTTAAAAATTGTAAATTTGCGGTAAAAAAGATTCTTGACCAAATTTTTACACTCTTATTAAACACCCTGTATACGAGAATTCGCTTAATATATTTTCGAAAACCACATAGTATCTTAATCACAATAGATGCATCTAAAACCTGGTCCAAACTGCATCCCAAAATCTTTTTTAGTTCAAGAGATATTCAACTTTAAATTTACCCTAAAATTTTGCTTGTCCCGATAATTATGTCCGGCAGTTTATTTCACGAAATTGTCCACAAGTACTAGTTAAACGCTTTTCTTCACTTACGCACGCCAAAAAGAAATCTAACAACTAACCTGTTTGTTTCAATTATTTCTAATGGCGAAGCCGTAAAGGGAATCCTCTGGTGTTGATCCCGCAGATCTCGCACGGTAAATCCCGCAAATTCGATTCCGCGGAATCACAGAGGGATCCCGCATTTGCGGGATCCAGCATTTGCGGGATTGCATTCCCTAACTCCGATATTATTATCATATCTTGATGAAACACGATACACGTTTTCTATGTATCAAGATGTCTTTTTTAATGTACAAAAAAATTGGGTTTTAAATGGGTTTTGAAACGAATATTTTATTAAAATACCAAGGTCGGAGGTCTCCCCCAAAAACGAGGGTGATGGGAGAAAACGGAAGTCATATTTGGATTCAGGGGGTCATGTTACATAGGAATCGGCAAGAACGGTATTAGGGCCAATTTTCATGCAGACCAGTGTTATACTTGTGGAATAATATTGACATTTGAAAATTAATTTCATTCTCACTTCTTTGAATATCTATAGGCCAGTAAGCGAGGGTTTTAGAGTCCGAATTCTGAACACCTGCACCGATTGACGTGAAATTTTAACAGTGAATAGAGATATATGTAAGAAAACAAAAGTCACATACTAGCGATGTATGCTTTTACCCTGGGAGTGAGTGCCACCCTTCTCGGCGGTGAAAAATAAATCACCCATTTTAATTGCAAAAATCAATAAAGGAATTAATTATAAGCAAAACATTTTTTCAGAAAATTAATATTTTCCTACTTATTTATGATTGAAAATGTTTATTTTTCATCTAAAAACTGCATATTTTCTGCCTTTTTTATAAATAACTCGAAAACCTTGCGTTTTATTGCAAAACTCATGAAGCTTTTGAAATAACGAATCAATTCGTTTTTTGTGGATTACCGTAGGTGTTATAATAGGCGAGTTATCACTCTGTAAAGGTGATTTTTTATTTTTCGAAAACTAAATTTAAACCTTTTACCGTAAAACAATGATGAAAGAATATATTTTTCGAAGAAAATGAATATGCCCGTTTTTAAAGTGCTTGGAAAGACCTTTTAAATGTTTGTATGTATGTATTTTCGTAGCTCAAAAACTTGCGGAGTTCTGATAAAAATAAAATAGTCACCTCATATTTTCAAAAATAAATTAACAACAAAATCTATGACTGAAATCACAAAAATAAAAACTAAGCGTTATATATACAGGGTGGCCCATCGAAAACGTTCCGCAAGGCATAACGGCCAGGATATTTTTTTTTCAAAAAATCCAGAAACATCACGTAAATTTTGTTTGTGAGGGGGACAACTTTTGCCCCAAACATGATTGCAAAATCTTCAACCCTCTAAGCGGGGGTGTCATCTCCCAACTTTTTTCAAACGTGAAGGGGGGTCAAGTGGTACCGCAATGAAAAAAGCTTTTTATTCTCTATACTTTCCCGCTTCGTTTTTGAAAATCGGTCGAGTCATTGAGAAAATATGAAGGATTGAAATTTGAAAAGTTTATTTAAACATTTATCAGAGTAAATGATAAGGATAAATTCCTTCGACCAATTTGCTGTTTTTTCTTATTATTTCTAGATGTTTACGCATTTTTTCACTTGCCACAAGGTTGAACGATCAGGTGCGGCAGTTGCTAGATAGCTGTTCTGTGGCTTGTTTTCAAAGTTTAAAAAAATTTTGAAAAATTGAAAAAAGTTGGGGGTGACACCCCCGCTTAGAGGGTTGAAGATTTTGCAATCATTTTTGGGGCAAAAGTTGTCTCCCTCACAAACAAAATTGACGTGTTCTTGAATTTTCAGAAAAAAAAATTACCCTGGCCGTTATGCCTTGCAGAGCGTTTTCGATGGGCCACCCTGTATACAGTTGTCTATATTTAGGTACTAACAATGGGCTCTGCAAGTTTGAGCAGTTTAGAATGCCTAAATTTGAAAAAAGTTGAAAATAATGAATTTTTTTAAATTTTTCTCAAAATAAATCTCAAAATCTCAAAAACTAAGCAAAATACGAAAAAAATGCAACTTAGTAAAATTGAAGTTCTTTTTTTGCTATATTTTTGCTCTCTTTCAATTTTTCTGTAGATCGCTTTATTTCGTAGATATTACGTTTTTTTAGTTTGACTGGCGTGTAAGAACCACCTTCTTTGAGTCCTTAAAACCCGAGAATCTCGTAAAAATGAAGAGCCCAAGACTGTTCAACTATAGAGATTAATTTGTAGCTCGTGTAATTTCCTACAAATTGATAGTTTTTATTTTTATGATTTTAATCGTAGATTTTGTTGTTAATTTTTTTTCGAAAATATGAGGTGATCATTTCAGTTTTATCATAACTCCACGAGTTTTTGATCTACAATAAGTAATGTCCTATTTTTTCCTCGCTTACTGGCCTACTATAGTTATTGGCAGTTTTACATAAAAAATCTAGATTTGACACAAAATTAGATCCTAAAACTTATTATAAAATTGTTGCGTGAAAATCCTTGCATACTCAACTAGTTAATTTTGACACGTTAATATTCTAGGAATGCGAAGACGACAAAATTATTATATGCATCAAGGGCCGCAACCAGGACGAAGGCGATGTAAAAATAGTCATTAGGCAGTGCCCCGATTGCAAGAACTCCGAGGGCAAGGACGATTCTAAAAAGCGTGCAAAGCCGCACCCACCAACTCCCGACACCCAATCACAAAAAAGCGTCAAACTCGACGAAAAACATCCGTCAGAAAGTTCCAAGAGCTACAAATCTCAGCCATCGGCTGCAAGTTCACAGCATTCGCAGTCTGTACATGACAGCGATAGCGAACCACACATGAATGAACCGGCACTTGGAAGAACCCGCTCCCGTGAAAGCACTAGGTCGGAGAAAAGCCAAAAATCTGTCGTAATCCAGGACGAGCCCGAATATAAAAGTAAAATTTCCCAACCAGGTGATTTACGCTTAGCGAAAAGTGACAGGTCAGTTCATAGCACTCGTAGCAGCTCTCCTGTTACATCTATTAAAAGTGAACAGGATCAATTTAAGGAAGAAGACAAATATGAGGAAGAAAGGCATGCCCCAGAACCGAAAACCGAGACTTTCATACAACACCAAGCAAAGTACTCTAATATCAACCTGTTTGAAACAACAAACCTTTGTTTGAAAACCGAAACAGGTCAGGATCTAATTATTTCGTTAACAGTAACTCTGCAAGAGTTCGAAAACAAAAAACTGAGCTTGAGAGACATCTTTAGCGAAGATGAGTATGCAAATAAAGGCCAGCAATATCCTCCTGATCAATATCCTCCGGATCAGACTATGGTTGTAGAGGATCACTTTATTCCCTTAGAAAGGACTAAAGTATGTTCCTCTTTAGATTTTGATGTAACAGTTGAAGATTCGAAGATGAGAGACAAGGGTCTTAAAAATAAAAACGCCCAAATCGTGGTGAAGCTGAACGATTTTGGGATTGATAACCTTCTTCGAGCTTGTAGGCCAGCTAAATGTTGTAGAAAATCGGTTTTAAATGAAAAAATGAAGAAGTGTATGCCGTATCCTCCAAGTTTAAGGTCTTTGCCGTTGGATGATAGCGATTACGATGTTATACATCAATCTTTGCAGATGAGTTTACAAAAAGTGAAGAATTCTACAAATTTGAAGAAAGAATATTATGTAAACCATGTAAATCCAGTCCACACTGTTATGTATTTTCACATTGAAACTGCTGATCCTATGATATCGTCTAAAATAAAAAATGTTAAGGAATATTTTGTTAAAGAAAAGCTAAATTATTATATAAACTTGGTAAAAGATTTCAAGTCAAATGCAAGAGAAGGTATCCAGAATAAAAATGATAATAATCTTCTCGGAACTTATAAAACTACAAAATGTTGTTCTAAATATGTTTTAAATAAAGAAATAAAGATGCTACAACTTGGCAAAAAACACTACGAAAATGTTATGCAAATTAGTTGTAAAAATCATTATTCGCATGGTATTAATAATATTCATACTGTAATGTATTTTCAAGTTGAAACAAATTTACCAGGAGTACCAACAAAAAAGAGACCAATTAACAAATGCTTTGTAAAACAAAAATTAAATTATTACATCAATTTAGCTAAAGATTCGGGATGTAATAGCAAAAAGTCAAAATCAAAATATGACGTTTTGTATGTTGACATGAGAGACAAATCGGACAAAAACATTAAAAATGAAGTGGTGAAAAAATGCTCAGGAGAATCCAGTACTTCTCGCTGGACCAAGTTTCTCAATTACGATGAAATACCCATAGTTAGCAAACAAACTGTAGCCGACCAAAATGATTTGTTCAGTCCTTTAACAGAAAACCAGTCGTCGGACAAGCATTTGAAAACTAAAAGGAAAACAGTCCCCCGAAGCAAAATACCAGTTTTTCAAAAACATAGTCCTCAAAAAAATGGTGAAGCGAAAACATTGGAAACGGAAATATATTGCATAAGTTTGAGTTCGTTGCCTGAAAATAAAGATCTGGCGTCTCGTATCATGAATGGTAAGTTTTAGTTTTTATATTTTAAGTAAAAGTTTATAGGTAACTGGATGTGGTAGACAATGTCTCGGTAACAATTATTATCGAATATTGCTTTTATTTATATTTGTATAGGCTTGGTGCGTTCTTCGCCGGTGCTGCCACCATCGGAGAAAACTGTGGACCAAACGAATACACGGGTTTAAACAGCGAATACACGAAAAAAAAAATATAATTATTTTACATACATACATACATATTGACATTACTCGCAGACGAGTATTCGACACGCATCAGAAGATGGTCACGCAAGGCGTTTTCTTTCATGAGCTTTTCTGTAACTGAAAAGTCCGATACGTTTATCTGTCTACCGCACTCCGGACATTCAAAAATCTCATTGCTTTGTTGCCTCTTTACTTTTTGGTTGTCACTGTTAAGTGAGTTTACAATTCTTCTCCATTCCGTTCTATTGTAAACTGCTTCTTCCCACTCATTCTGCATGTTAATCCCCTTTAAGTTTTCGTGGAAAATATCCTTGTACCTTTTGAGTTGTCCACCCGGCCTCCTCTTACCGTTTTTAAGCCCACCGTAAAGCAGAGATTTTGGTATGCGGTTTTCTTGCATTCTGCATACGTGACCAGCCCATCTTAAGCGGGGCTTTGTAATCATGACTTCAATACTCGCAGTTAGCTTTTTCAAGGACCGATACGTTTGATTGTTGAATGTTGGTGAAACCATTTGATTCTTAAGAGTTGTCTAAGATGTTTGTTTATGTCTTGGCGGTACTGCACCCAGGTTTTGCTTCTTATCTGTATCTAATGCCCATACCTCTCCTGCAGTTTGCTGTCCACTATAATGGAGAGTGCTGCCATGAATATGTTGAATAGGTAAGGCGCCAAGACACATCCCTGCCTAACTCCCGTGTTTGTTAGGAAGCGATCGCTCAGTGATTCATGATGTGAAACTCTTGACTTGTTGTTGTTATGGAGGCTTTTACACACTGTAAGAAATTTGTTAGGTACTCCGAACTTTTTCATAATTGCCCAAAGTGCATCTCTGTTCACAGAGTCGAAGGCTTTTGTTAGGTCGATGAATGCATAAAGTTTAGACTGCTGTTCTTTTACTTTTTCCTGTAGTTAGCGGATGGAGAATATGGAATCGACGGTGCCGCAGTTGGTGCGAAAACCCGTTTGCGATTCTGGGAGGATTTTTTCTATATGTGGGTGCAGGCGAGGCGACAGTGGGGTATTTGACACTGATAGTTGATCGAAATTTTTTTATGTAGACCTTATATAAATTATTGCTATTTTCAATTAAAGAGAAAATAATATGAACAAAATAAAGAATAATTCGTCGATTCTAAAAAAAGAAAGAAAAATCACTGTTCCAGTGTTTCCACGGTCAGTACCAGTAGTAATATCGCAACTACTACTACTAATGCTACGACTGATCCGCGAGCAATGCACATACCACTAAAGTCACTACTAATGCCAAATTGTGCTATACTGCTAATGGCACTAATGCGATCGCTTTGTATACAACAATGCCATCGCGGTTTACACCTCGCATTAGTATATCACTGATTGGCAAATTAGAGGAAACCAAGAATGTTTTTCTCATTTTATCAGCAAAATCGCAAAAAGTCGCAGTATTTTATTTTACTGTATGAAAGCCCAATGTTTACTAAGTAAAACGTATATAGACAATATGCTGAATTCTTCGAAATGCGCAACTAAATCTCTAAGTATAATAAAAATGGCACAAATTTAATCAAATTTTCTGAACGCCTAACTTTTAGTTGCAAAAAAAAATCGTTAGTATAGAGAATATTAAAATAAATAATACGTTTTTGTAGAATACATACCTGCAGCTTGCTGAGCCATTTTCAATCAAAACAATAATATAAACGTAAAAAGAGCACAAGAAGAACAACAATTTATAATTTTAAACATAAAATTTAGCCATTTACCTCTTATCTGTGAGAAGTAACAACTTTGACTTTTCGTTGAAACAAATGAATGCAACTAAACACACCCATAGCAACGCCATTCATGGCAGAGATGATTTAACTTATCATTTATCTTTTTTTGGGAAATCTTAAACACATTTGCTTTTTCGAATTTCGATCACCTTTTTCATGCTAATACCCCACCGTGAGGCGGTTTGACATAATTTTTGTAAGAATTTTTCCTCCGATAGCCAGTAGTGAAATTTCTCGGTAGTTTCTGCAGTCTGATGAACTTCCTTTGTTCTAACCAAAACAACAATCAAATTAAAATTTGATTGTTGCTGTAAAGCAAAATTCGATAATAAGGAACTTAAATTCTTTTAAACAATATGAACTGATATCAGACACACCCTAAAGCTCATATTTGACAAATAATGATAACGTAACAGTGAACGATGCTGAACAGTCTTTACGTCTTGGGTACTTTTGTTTTGTACAGTAAGGCTCTTCTATATACTTATTATTTATCTGAGCATATTGAGCATTCGAGCCTTTGAGTTAATATAAATCCATATTTACATAGGTAATTGATTATATTGGTCTTTTCAGGAATTAAAAAAAGCAGTACTATCGAAACTATAGAAGATAATGCCGAAAAATTGCTTAAAATTAAAAAAGATAAACCTTTGTACGCACAAAAAAGTGTAGGCCCTTCAAATTACTCCATGTTAAGCAACAGATCAGTCAAACATCACAAGAAGAAAAAGAAACAGTATTATCTCTCTAGATCAAAGTCAGAAACGTCTTTGAATATTAGAAGTGCACAGTTGAAAAACAGAAAGAATCAAACTTTGAAGCAAAAAGTAACCAAAACTATATTAGACACAAATTATGTGAATTCAAATCAGAATATTCTTAAATCTGAAGACTTAACGCAATTGATAATAAATTGTTTTTCTGAACTTGTATACAATATGGTTTCTGAGAAGATATTGAACGAATTGCGATTAGAAAATGTGATTAGAAATCCAATAAATGAGAAATATTGTCATGTTCAAGTATCTACAACGGGTCAAAGTGAGTATAGTTTGTCTGTGAGTATAGTTTGTGACAATATATACAGGGTAGTCTATTAATTTGAGGAATTCCAATATCGGCATTGTTGATAAAGATACGAAAAAAAGTTTTAAATAAATCTTGGATGGTTTATAAAGGTATATATCCTAAAAATCTATAATAATAAAAGGCTATGTTTCAGTTGATAGTTGCTGTGAGTGTATGTATGTGATCAATCGTGGTGAAGCCGCTTTAAAAGCCTGCTTGTTCTCGCGGTTGCGCAGCGTCTAGCGTTTTTTGTATTCTGTTGTTTATTATTTTTGTAAATATCTTGAAAATTGTAATTTGCAAATATCCTTTATAGACTCGACCTAAGGCAATAATAGAAGCCTTAAAAAAACAAGGCCTTGACAGGCCTTATATAGAAACTATCGCCGATATATACAAAGAAGCCACAGCAAGAGTAATGATATATATAAAACAACACCAGGGTGTCCCACTGGGAAAGGAGTACGACAGGAAGACGCGATATTCCCAAACATGTTTACCGCAACACTGGAAGAAATCTTTCGTCAATTGGACTAGATTAACAAAGGATTAAAAATAGATGGAGACTTAACTATGGTTAACTAGATAGACTATAACTGAATCTATCTATATATAGTTAACTAACTTAACCATCTAAGATTCGCTGACGACATTATTCTAATTGCCAATAGTCCTGAAGAACTACAAGCCCAAATTAATAAACTAAATTCAGCCAGCAATAAAGTGGGCCTCAAAATGAATTTAGCAAAAACTAAAGTAATGTACAACGAACTAGTGGAGAGAAAATACATTCTAATAAATAACACAACACTGGAAATAGTAGAAGAATATATATATATTTGGGACAACTAATATACAACTCGGGATCTCTACTACCAGAAATCAGCAGAAGAATTAAGTTAGCATGGAGTACTTATGAAAGAAACTCAATCATATTTAAATCTAGAATGCCACTCTATATAAAGAAGAAAACATTCAACCAATGTGTATAATACTACCAGTCATGACCTACGCATGCAAAACCAGAATACTTAAAACGGACAATATAAGGAAACTGCAAATGCTGTGCGAAATATGCTGGGAACAATAAAGAGAAGAATAGAGGGGTTACAATAAAAGACCTAGGTAATAGATGTAATCCACAGAGTTAAATCGCTCATTGCAATGGGCAGGATAACTGGCAAGAAGAACGGACAACAGATGGATCACAATAATTACAGCATGGTACCCACGAGGAATTAAGAGACCTAGAAGAAGACCGAACCTGAGATGGGACCATGATATAAGGAAATTAGCAGGGATAACTTGGGCACGCATAGCCAACAATAGGCAATAATGGGCCCAACTACAAAGAGAGTACCTAGATATGTGAGGAAGGCTACACCATAATTTGAATTGTTTGAATAAGCTGAAAATGATGATGACATCCTAAAAATATTTTGTTGTATATAAGGTGTCCCAAAAAGGTTAAAGTTGTAATTTTTTTTTAATTTTAATCCCCATTTTTGTGTACAGAGTTGGATTTGCTGAATCCACAACAATCCGTACCATTGTACACTATTGTGATTTGTTGCCATTGTATTTCTTATTTGCTGGAGCTTTTTCAAAACGTTTTGCCTAAATTGTTCAAGTTTGGCATGTATTTTTAGCATATCCAGACGTTTAAAATCCTATTAACAACTTCGCTGTAAAATCAATAGAGGAGTCAATATTTGGACAGTTCAAAATTTGCATGGGATCTTCTATGTTTCCAACACCGATGCACCACCCGGTATAATATCTTCTTATATCTTTGTCAACAACGACGATATTTGAATTTCCAAGACCAATGGACCACTCTGTATATTTGTAAAGTGATTAAGATGTTTTTTCCTATTTAACTGATGTTATGTCTTACAAAGACAAATATATCACCTTATTTGATTGTAAATATTATTTTTTTATTACTCATATGTATAGTCTGTCCAACGAGTATGGGATGATTTTGATAGAAGGCATCCGAGAAATGACAATGAATAATAATTAGTGGTGAAATAAAATGACGGACACAACTGCCACTGTCATGGATCCTATCGTTGCACAGTCTATAGGTATGTTTTTGCAACACTTTGTTGGTTAAAAAACATGTTTTATAGGTTTAATGGATATGTACGATACTGCCCAAAAAAGCACATCTGCTAGCATACTGGAAATCAAGCAATATCACTTAAACACTTCCTTCCACGACCTGAAGGCCAAACAATCCCAATCGTGTATCTTCTTTATTGGCAACAATATTAAGAATTCCTTAATTTGCGGGGACTTAGCTATTCAAACCTCTCGCATCTTTGGCACTAATGTACAGTGCCAAACATCACAAACTTTGGTATCATATAAGAAAGACTTGAAGCCGGAGGTTAAACGCCAGAAACACAAACTCTTTTCTGCAATTTATGACGGAGAAGCACTAACTGGAATTCCTAACAGTTGTGATCAACTGGAAAACTTCATTGTGCTTTTCAAAAGCCTTGAATCTTTTACATCAGAAGTCTTTGAAAAGGACCTTAGTTTAATAGATTCGGTTCAAAGTTTCGAATCAACCAGGCACAGTATTCATGATAGCCTGAGTAGCTCGCTTCTTAAACTGAAAGAGACTTTGGAGCGATACGAAGTGGTCAAGAAGGAAATAAAGCAAAGAGAGAATATTAATCCTATTGAATATTTTGTGTATCAAATGTGCGCTTGTAATAGAGTTCAAAAGAAGCCATCTGTGGTTCAGAGAATTTTAAGTAAGACTAAAGGATTGTTTTCGTCGACACAGTGTAATAAAAGGCAGAAAACATGGGAACCTTCAATGATTCGAGGTGAATATTTTGTAAAATACTGTAACAATATTAAGAATATCTGAAAATTCATTAAATATTTAACTTTCTTTAACAGAAAAAAAATTCTTTATTAGTGACCGGTTTCGGCAATTCCAGCCATCATCAGACCTTTGTCAAAGACTTTTTGATAGTGGTTTGGACTTTGTTCTAGATTTTAACCTTAACTTTGATATCTACAGAGTCTCAACAATACATTTATTTATATGTGATTAAATTAGAAAAAAACACTGATTTTTCTCGTTTTTTAAAGAACTGTAAACTATAAAAACTCTTGCCAATATATACAAAGAAACCAAAGTAAGAGAAATTATATATAAAGCAACCACAGAGTTCCCAACTGGTAAAGGAGTACGATAGGGAGACGCGATATCCCCAAAGCTGTTTACAGCAACACTAGAAAAAGTCTTCCGCCAACTAGAATAAACCTACAAATGCCTACTACCGCCTAAGAATAGATGGAGAATATCTTAACCACCTAAGATTTTCTGATGATATAGTCCTAATTGCCAATAGTCCTGAAGAACAACAAACACAAATTAACGAACTAAAAACAGCCAGCAATAAAGTGGGTTTCAAAATGAATTTAGCAAAAACTAAAGTAATATACAACGAACTAGTGGACAGCAGAGATATTCTGATAAATAACACAAAACTGGAAATAGTAGAAGAATAGTAGAAGCGCTACATCTCTAGCATGTATTTAAAGTGTTAAAATAAAAATGTTTATATTCAATTTTGCATCTAAAAGAAAAATAGTTTACAGTTTCATCATCATCATCATTCTCAGCTTATTAAACCATTTCCAATTATGGTGTAGCCTTCTTCACATATTTAGATACTGTCTTTGTAGTTGGGCCCATTGGTTGTCTGTTGATAGCTATGCGGGCTCAAGTTATCCCTGCTAATTTCTTAATATCATGGTCCCATCTCATGTTTGGTCATCCTCTAGATCTCTTAATTCCTCGTGGGTACCATGCTGTAATTTTTGTGGCCCATCTGTTGTCCATCCTTCTTGCCAGGTGTCCTGCATATTGCCACTTAAAGCATTTTATTGTGTGGATGACATCTATTACTTGGGTCTTTTGTCGTATCCACTCTATCCTTTTACAGTCTTTCTTGGTTATTCTCAGCATATTTCGTTCCATTGAGCGTTGTGCGCCCTGCAGTTTTCTTATAATGTCCGTTTTAAGTCTCCAGATTTTGCATGCAGAGGTCGTGCCTGGTAGTACACATTGGTCGATTGTTTTCTTCTTTAGATAAATGGCATTGTAGATTTAAATATGACTTAGTTTCTACCATAAGTACTCCATTCTAACTTAATTCTTCTGTTGATTTCTGGTAGTAGAGATCTCGAGCTCTGTATTGCGGCGACTTTTAAAAGGTAAAAAAAATATGTAAAAAGGATGTTACAAATTAAAAAGTAAACCGCAGCGTACGGCTGCTCTTTGTCTGGTGAACAATAGGTGCAGGTTCATTTAACTGTTTTTGCAGTTTATTGGGCACCACTTAATTTAAGCCAAGTGAATGTGATATTTAAAACATTAAGAAAATTACCACAGGCTAAAGATCTTCTGTAATGATATATCTCAAATTAAAACAATTTAATTAAAAACTATATACATTTATTAATAATTAAATAGGTTGAATTGAAACTCCAGTCAATTAGTGTTGATTTTCTATCTTACTTGGGCCCATATCCATTACGTAACTACTTCAAACCATCATAAAACTTGGAAATTTGCGGAAAAGAGGAAACTCGCCAGTTCACACCAGCCTCCAACAGGGAACCTTCACGGAACCATTCAAAAAAACAAAAACTGCTCAAAAGCTTCTGCTAAAAAATTATTGCTGTGCTCAAAATCTTCTCAAAAAAACTCCCAAAATGTTCTCGTTTCCAAAACGAAAGTTGTTCCCAAAATGGTAAGGGACACAATCCAAAATAAATTATTTTTCCTCTAAGTATACGAAAGAAAGTAAAAGAAGAAAAACTATAACTTGTAAAACTATAAACTTATTCTCCGCCACATACGATGTAAAAACAAAACTTTTCTTGGAAGATGAAAACCACCCTGGGACTTCTCACCGTGGTTGAAATGGAATTGCCGAAAAATCCGAGTAAATCTTTAAAATTCTGCCGGAGATTATTTTCTGAAGACAAAAAGTAAACACACACCAAACTGTGCTCGAAATAAGAAAAGTTTAGGAAAGTTATCAATAACATTTAAATAATAATTTAAACTAAAAATATAAATGGCAACCCTGCGCCACCACATCGAACGGCATTCACGGGACGGGCATTATTTGCTTCTAAATGCTGCTAGAGATGTAGCGCTTCTACTATTCTTCTACTATTTCCAGTTTTGTGTTATTTATCAGAATATCTCTTCTGTCCACTAGTTCGTTGTATATTACTTTAGTTTTTGCTAAATTCATTTTGAAACCCACTTTATTGCTGGCTGTTTTTAGTTCGTTAATTTCTTCAGGACTATTGGCAATTAGGACTATATCATCAGAAAATCTTAGGTGGTTAAGATATTCTCCATCTATTCTTAGGCGGTAGTAGGCATTTGTAGGTTTATTCTAGTTGGCGGAAGACTTTCTCTAGTGTTGCTGTAAACAGCTTTGGGGATATCGCGTCTCCCTATCGTACTCCTTTGCCAGTTGGGAACTCTGTGGTTGCTTTATATATCATTTCTCTTGCTTTGGTTTCATTGTATATATTGGCAAGAGTTTTTATAGTTTACAGTTCTTTAAAAAACGAGGAAAATCAGTGTTTTTTTCTAATTTAATCACATATAAATAAATGTATTGTTGAGACTCTGTAGATATTAAAGTTAAGGTTAAAATCTAGAACAAAGTCCAAACCACTATCAAAAAGTTTTGACAAAGGTCTAATGATGGCTGGAATTGCCGAAACCGGTCACTAATAAAGAATTTTTTACTTTGTTAAAATGAACAATTAAATGTTCTATAACTCTGTAGATATTAGTAAGAGATCTCTGTGATATTTCAAACACCACATAACATCAAGTAAAAAACAAAGTCATCTTAGTAAAAAACAAAATACACCTCTTATAAACAATTTTTTTGAGTCTTGTTACTACGTGTTACTAGATAATAAATTATTTTTACCTTTTTCAGATACAGATATCTGTCAGCATTGTGGTTGTAATATACTAAAATGTCACAATAAAAACGCCAATGCTGCACCTTTATCTGCATGTTCATGTCCATCCGAGACAAAGACCGAAATTATCCAAGATTCCAAGAAATACCGCCAACCTTGCTGCAAAACAGAACAAAATAAACCAAAAAAAATATCCAGAATTGCTTGCGAGCATTTGGCCAAAATAAAATCATACGTTCAGTGTTCAGTTTCAAGCATTTTGAAAAAAGACCAATTGCAGCCTTGTACTTGCCCAATAAAAAACGGCACCGACGCTAAAGGAAGTTCTAATGAGATCTCTAAAACAGACCAATCGCATGATACTAAAGATTCCTCAACTCAAAAATGCGCATGTCAGAAGTGTGAAAACTTTTCGGAAGACGGGACTTGTTGTTGTTCGCATTGTCAAGGATGTTTGGATAAAAGTTTGGAAGCGAAACCTAATAATAACGATGCTGGTATCTTATGTAAATGCTCAAAAGAAGAACTAGAAAAGTCGAAAAGTAAAAATAACAACAACGCAATTGTAAACTACGGCATAGTGACAATAGACAGGGATATGGATGAAACGAAACATGAAAACTTTGAACAACTGGATACTGAAAACGTCGATAATACTAATGTTGTTCTTGATACGGTCGATAGCAATGTTACTTCGAGTTTCTTTAATAATGACAGTAACAACACTGCTGCGTATTATGTGATAGCTTCTCCAGCAATGATGTCAAGTTTAAGCCTAGAAAGTGCAAATCCATTTTGTCAATATTTGATCAATATGTCACCTGTAAATAGATAAAAATAAATATACATTTGATAAAAGTTGATATTATGAAGATTTGTGTTAAAATGAAAGCATTTTTTAACAACCTAGCCATATCTATAGTTTTTCTCACGTTGCGTTGCTTGCCCTCCTTAATTATGTTATTTAAAAGTAATACAACTTTGATGAAAATTGAATTCAAAAGAAAAATACATAAATAGACTACGATGCAATTTATACATATTAAGAATATCATTATTAAGTTGTTTCCTACGTTTGCGACAGTTTTTCTAGTTGCTTACTTATCCACGTAAGTATACAGGGTGTCCCAGGCTGAGGGTCAGATATTTATTGATTAGATCAGATATTTTCTGCACATATTTTTTTTTTGTGTGGGGAAAAATCTGCAAACCAGAGACCGTATGTGGTACTGTCGGGGTGGTTGAGGTACCTTACCGACTAAAAAACCTCCACAAGCCGCTTTGAATATCTCCCCGAGGAACTACCTTTCGGCATTACTTCTCGAGGAGGCGGTTTTACTGCGATGTTTTAGTTACTTCGTCTAGCTTCTTTCTCTTTTGCATCTATTAGTGTCTCCATAAAAGTGTGAACCCTATTCCAATTTTCTGGGGATCGAATCATCTCTGGAACTAGATCGGAAACCTTAATTTTTGGGACTCTTAGTTTTTCGTATAGAACTCTTCCTTCAGCTGTCCATCGGTTACATTCCAAAAGGGTATGCTCCACCGTATCAGCATCGGAGTCGCCATAGAGACATCTCGACATCTCGGGCTATCAGCTAACTTTATTTTATGTAGGTAATACCTGAAACAACCGTGGCCAGAAAGGAATTGACTCATGGCATAGTTCATTTCTCCATATTCTCTATTTATCCAACACTCTAGGTTCTTCATAAGTGTTCTAGTCCATTTACCTTTCCCATTTCTGTTTTGACTCCATCTTTTACACCATATTTCCAGAACTCTATTTCGACTTTCTTCCGCTGTTCTTCCTGAATGCAATGTGCAGCCTCCGCAGATATTGTCCTGTATCCACAACATACTCTTAAGGCCAATCTTCGTTGCACTGCAAGAAGTTTCTCTCTATGACTCCGAACTTTGCAGGTTTCTCCCCAAATTTCGGATCCATACAAAATTGTAGATGCTTGTACAGCAGCTAGCACTCGGCGTTTCGTTTGACCTACGGTAGACCAGTTTGGCATAATTCTGGATAACATGGCCCCTGTTTTTCTGCTTTCAAAACTGTATGGCGGATATGCTCAGAAAAGCCTCCTCCCGCTTGGAAAACAATCCTCAAATATTATATTGTTTTCTTTGGTACAATTACATTTTGTTTCACATGAAAACGTACACTGCGTGATTTTCGGTTACAAACCAAAATAACTGCCTCCGTTTTGTGCAGCGCTATTTCTAGTTCCACCTCATCCATCCATGAGCACACCTGCTCCGATGCTCTTTCCGCAGTTCTAACGAGGTCTTCGGTACATTTAGCCTTTACTATCAGCGCAACATCATCTGCATATGCTATGACTTCTACTTCTGCTGGGTATTCCATACGAAGGAGCCCATCATACAGTACATTCCATAGTAAAGGACCCAGTATAGATCCCTGAGGTACACCTTTAGATACTTTAACTTCTGTATCCTCTACAATAACGCATCTTTCGCTTAGATAAGCTTTTATATTTTCCACTAAATATAAACTTATTTTCCAATGATATTTAAGCTAATTGATTATATTTTCCCAGTTAGCCGAGTTGAAAGCATTTTTTACATCCAAGGTAATCAACATAAGGATATTTCTGTTTGACGAGCTAGTACTCTTTAGTACTCTAATTGCCTGAGACACTTTTTTGAGAGGATCGATTGTACTGATTTTTTTTCGGAACCCGTACTGCCTCTCATTTTTTGCACATAATTATTGTTTTACAACGTGATCTATCGATTAAAAATATTTTCAATATGGTGGTACTTCCGGAAACTACAGAAAGTTCAGAGCAACTTTTTTATTTTAAAAGGGTATCCCAATTTTTTATTACACACTTTTTTTGACACGAATTTTGATATTAACACTCTATACCTAACATTAACCGTTTTTGAGAAAAAAAAATTAAAATTTTTGGACGAAAAAACCTGCCTGTCAAAAAAAATTGTATAGCCTAAAAGTCAAATTTAGTGATTACCACAGCCTGTGACAAAGAGAAGCCATGTAACTATCTATTTCAAAAACTAAATGGTTCGAATGTTATAAAATAATGCCGGTAGCTGCCATGGAATTGTCATTTAAAAATTATTATAAATATATTTTTTTCCAAATGGAAACCCCCTTTTTTTATTTCACTAGTGAAAAGGTTTTTCAATTCGTGACTTATTGACTATACATGTTCATATACTCGTACCTAAAATAAGCCGTTTTGAAGTTATTTAAGATTTAGTTTTAAAACTTTTTTTAAAACTTTTTATTATTTTGTTTAAAAATTTTCTTGATTTTATCTAGTTTTCTTTGACATTAATTGATATTATTGATAATATGATACCGTATGATCAAAAAAAAAATCGGCGCAAAGTTGGCTTGCATCGATATCTAATTTTTTAACAAAGTGTCACAATATGACATAGCCAGATATATTGTTTTACATCGCTTGACGTTTAAAGTCATAGGGTGCTGGTTAAAAAAATATGCTTTAAAACTAAATCTTAAATACCTTAAAAACTCTTTATTTTAGGCATTTTTTTAAGTATAGGAACATGTATAATCAAAAAGTAATGAATTGAAAAATCTTTTTTTCTAGTAATATAAAAAAAGTAGGTTTTCCTTTGGAAAAAATCATTTGTGATAATTTTTTAATATCTCAATTCCATGACATTCCAAAACTTTAATTTTTGAAATAGATAACCACATGTCTTTTCTTTATTATGTCACAGTGGCTGTGGTCATCACTAAATTTGACGTTTAGGCTATGCATATTTGTTTGACAGTGTGTTATTTGAGTGTTTAATATCAAAATTCATAAAATTTTACAGAAAATTTAACTATGAAATAGAGAATGGGGGCATCCATGTAAGATAAGAAAGTTGCTGTCAACTTCCGATATTTCAGGAAGTGCCGCCAAGTTGAAAATATTTTTAATCGATAGATTTGGTTGTGAAACAATGATGTGCAAAAAATCTCCGATCTAGATATTGTAGTTCTTTAGGAACTTCTAATGCACGCACAGCCTGGGATACCCTGTATATTAATATATTTATCTGAAATAAAAAATACCAGGACATATCGAAATAACACATAGTTAAAATTATGTGTTATTTCAAAAATGGAAACTAAAATCATTTCTTGTTATATTAAAGACAAGGTTAATAATAAGTATTATCACAGCACAATGTATTCAGAAAAATCTTAATCGTATTATAAAAAAATAAACTTGGTTGTGGTATATCCATGTCAACAGAATATGTATTTTTTAAATAGACTCTGTATTTATAAATAAAAGTAATTAAAAAATAAAATATTAACTAAGAATAAAACAATGATGGTATTGGAAAGAACTAAAGTTTTCCCAAGTAGCAAAAAGAAATTCTAAAAGGGTTGAATTATTTAACAGACGAATAGCGTTGTCTTAAGAACTGCTTGATTTTATTAAGCGTTTGGTTTCGACCATTCTGTTTTTTAATAAAAGTTGTCATATTAAACTATTTTCTAGTGGTTTTTACAACGTATCCTATAACGCATTAAACGATAATTTCTTTTAGTATGATATAACACTTAATAAGACAATGCTATATGATAACAAACATATTATTTTATTAGAATCTTATACCCACCATGTAAGAGTTCTATAATATTCATATAACTAGTAGTCACAAGATCATATAATAGTTACTTAAACTTGTCTTATTAAAGTTGTATTACGTTTTATGATAGAACGTTTTATAGCGTTAAACTGCGGTGCTGTATACAACACAGTTATATAGCCTTATATGATAAAATTGTGATTAACAAAATAAATTCTCTGTAATATCTGCATTATAAAACTGGTAATGTATAATACCTATAACCTCATTTTAATTTAAATGGTATACCTAGTTATTTATTTTGTTATTGTTGTTGTTGCAAAAGTAATATCTACGTACGAGTATAATCAATCACAGCTATTATGAATTCTGGACAAAGTTGGAAAAAACTTAACAAACGCAGTGGTAGTTATAAAGAGCATGTAAGAAAAAACTCCTCGAAATTACGGCAAATAACCCCGAGAATTCCCTGGGTTCTCAAAAGCCAAAATCTCTCGGGTTGTCTGGCTTCTTCAAAGCATTGTTGCCACGTTGGTGTAAAAGTTTTACTGTAGTAATGTTTGTATTGTTTTATTGTTGTTTTTCCAAGTCCTTAGGTTGCCGCTCACTCGTCGGGCACGCATGAAATGCATTGCGTGCATGAATCCATGAAAATCTGATCATGTTTGTTAGTTTAAATACTAATCAAATGAGATTTGGCAACATCTATTTGTCACATATCTCAATATGTCCAAAATAGTTCTACAGTGCCTGGAAATTCTGCGTAATGATAGATATTTATCCTATACCGTTTTATTTTACAACAAAGACTTATTTAAGGGATTCATTTATAATAAAATGGTTGCATTATAATTCGCCATGTTTAAGGCAGAATTTTCGTATGGCCTGTGGCCGCCATTATATGAAGCAAAATTAAAAACATCAAAATACATTGTAAAATGTTATTTTTGAGAACTATTTTGTGATAAGATTCCCACATAACAGTAATAAAGTGTTTAATTAAATTAAAAACAAGATTTTTTGAAAATTTTATATTATTTTATTGTTTAAATTTATATGTAAACCTTAATCGAAATTAAAGCGCTTTAATTTTTTGCCAAATACATACCTATAATCTACCAGTAAAATTTTCGGCGCAACAAAAATTGTCCCGACTCTTCAAACCCTATTAATGATTTTTTATATTACATATTTGTTGTACCTTCTGGGTCTACCCGCCATTTTCATTGTCGAGTAAAGTCTCCTTTTTAACAATCCACATCCTCTAGATTCATTTTACGACAGGCTTAAAATATAATTTGCTCCTAATATTCTTCGGTAAAAAATAAAATACTCTTGTACCTCGCTAAATGATCAAATGTTTTTATTGTTCTGTTTCTTAGATGTGACCACGTAATATACAATAAAACTAGTTTTATAATAGTCATATAATGCTGTGTAAAATAGTTGCATAAGAGTTGTATACCCTTTTTATAGAACTTCTATACTACTAATATAGATCGATTATATTAGTCATTTTTAATCAGTTTATCCTAGTTTTATTATAGTTGATATTCCGAAAAGTAACGTTAGTGATAAGGTAGAGAAAATTGCAAAACAATGGCTTGATTTAGAAATCAAATTTCTGTATAGTAAACGAAGTATGCTTGAAATTGAAGCCTATGGACTTTACAAAAAACTTACTTATAAGCTAACTAATGTAGAGTATGAATGTTGGTGTCTCTTTCAGAGAAATATGTTTGTGGTTATCAATTCAAAATTTGTTAAGAAAATGTCCATTTTGAATAATAAGTTTAAAAAATTAAAAAGCTCTAAAAACAAACATGTTTTCCAAAGAGACATAAACATAGTAGAAAATCTTTCTTCGCAGACTTTTGATAAACAAGAGCTCAGTTTATTAAATAAAGGTTTAAAGTATGCATTGCCCAACTCTGGTAGCGCTTTGGAGGAAATCGTCGTTGGTGTTGAAACTGCTATTCAGCACTGGCCCGAGGCTTCTAAAGTATTTACAAGAGAGGCTTGTAGAAATCAGTTATCAAAAAATATCGTTTCAAGTAATACATTAAAATCTAACAAAGAGCACAATATTGTCAAGAGTTTGCGTAACAAAGATTGTTTCTATCTAAAAGCTGATAAGGGAAATAAGGTTGTTATATTAGACAAAAAAGACTATTACGATAAGGTTAACAACTTAATCGATAATGGCCCCTACATCAATTTGAAAAAGAATCCTTTGTCTAAGATGGTAGCAGACGTTAAAACAACTCTAAAAGAATGTAACACCCTTATTGATCTTTCTTTAAAGAGGAAATTGCAAGTATCCAATCCCTCATTACCAAAATTGTATGCTTTGCTAAAAATTCATAAACTGGACAAGTCTATGCGCCCAATTGTTTCGGCTGTAGGTTCTCCGACTTATAATTTGGCAAAATGGTTATCAAGGGAGTTCGAAAATTTACCTGATCATGAACCTTCTTTCTCAGTTAAAAATAATATTGAATTCATTAACAAAATTATAGATATAACATTGCATGAAGGTGAAATTTTGGTCTCCTTTGATGTATCTTCGTTGTTCCCAAGTGTTCCAATTCCACATACTTTAGGCTACTTAAAGGAATTACTGAACGCAAATTTGCAGTCTCGACAACAAAACTGTGAGTGAATATATTGAGCTTACATCGTTATGTATGAAACAAAATTGTTTTCAATTTAATAACAACTTTTTTGAACAGCGGGAAGGTACAGCAATGGGTAATCCATTGTCTCCATTTTTGGCTAATTTATTCATGAGCAGGTTTGAAGTGGAGGCTAAGAATCAGTATTTTCCAAGAGTATGGTTTAGGTATGTGGATGATATTTTTGCTGTTTTTGACACACATTCAGACACCATAGATAATTTTATTTCTAAGTTAAATAATCGTTTTCCTTCCATTAAATTTACGCATGAAATTGAGAACAACGACAGATTACCATTTCTAGATGTATTAGTTATTAGAAATACTAATAATTGCCTGGAATTTGATATCTATAGGAAAAATACGACCACACGCAGATATATTCTTAATGAATCACATCATAGTGTTGAACATAAAATGGCTAGTTTAAATTTATTAGTGCATAGATTACTTAGTTTCCCACTTTCCAACGAAACATATGAAATAGAAAGATATTACATTAGGAATGTAGCTGAGTGTAATGGATATTCTCCTTCACTAGTTGATAAATTAATTAGAAAACGTAGGTATAGGTTAATGATTTCTGAAAATTCGACTTTTCAAGTGGAGAAAGATACGTCTAAATATTTTTCGATACCGTTTGATAGAGAGTTATCCCGTGGTCTAAAAGGAATTTTTAAGAATGTCAATTGTGTATAACTTGTAAACAATGTAAAAAATTTGTGTATAGAGCTAATAATAAATTACAACAATTATTAGGTAATCCAAAAGATAAAACACTTCCACTGGAAAGGTCGGGTATTTATGAAATTTCTTGTAAAGATTGTAATCAGAAATATGTTGGGCAAACTAGAAGATCAATATTAACTAGATTTAAAGAACATTTAGCTCAGATAAGATATGGTAGACCGGATAAATCTTGCGTTGCCGAACATATTGTTGATAATGAACATTGTATAGATCTTAATAATTTAAAATTAATTAAACAAGTCTCAAATTACAGGCAATTAGATGCATATGAAAGCATCAGAATTAATAAACGTAAAGATAGTGTGAACAGAGTCAACGGTCCAATTCCTTCAAGTTCTTTGTTCTTACTACTCTAGTGGCGGAAATCTAACTGTCTGACTCGGTTGGCTAGATTTTGCCACGCCCACTCGGTGCCCACTGAGCGAGTATATAAACGCTCAACTTGTAGATTGTACTTTAGTTTATAATCATCTGCTGATGATGCTAACATGGTTAGCGAAACGCGCGTCCAGTGTAAAAGTAAAAGTGTTTTGGTGTATTGTGGTGATTTAGTGTTTTTATTTTGCTGTGTAACACCAAAGGTTCCAACCCTCAACTGTTATCTACTTGTGTTAATACAAATAATATAATCATAAATCAAGCAATTTTTAAGCTCATTAAATTTTATAGCTATTCTACCAAAAATTAAATCCAAGAAAATTTAAACCTTTACGTGTATATTTTTTTTAATAAAAATCTTTGAAGGACAAAATATAACTTAAAGTATGGACTTCTATGTCTGCAAATTATAATTCTTTATATTGTATACCAATAACGCTAATAAAAAACATAAATTGCTTTAATCTTATTATGTTGTCAAAGATGTAAAAGATATATTGTTATGTTGTTTATACATACTTATTAAGTTATTAATTAAAATTAATATCGTGTACTAAAGAAGGAAAACAATTCGAGAATCTTATTTCCATAAATACAACGTAAACAATAATAATATCTGTTTTTAAGCGTCTTGGCACTCCGTATATGCAAATACTCGGTATATTTTCGAGTTTATTAATTAGAAATGACGCTACTGGTCTTTCCGATGGATACCATGTACAGCATATAAGGCTGAGATTAAGGCTGAACCAGATCAATACATACTCAAGTTCTTCAAACATCTCGTGCAGTGTTACAGTTAGTTACAAAAGTTAGTTTCGTAGTACAAAAATGAATACAAAACTACATTGTTTGTGTTTCTTAGGTAAGTAAAAAAAGGATTTTGATAATTTTATATATTAATATTATCTATAACGTTGCATCTTATATGATAATTCTGTTAAATTACTTTGTGTCTTTATTATCATCGTGAACTTTAACATTTCATAGTTCTAAATATAAACGAATTGTTACTTTTATTTATAAGTACATATAATTCCAGATAAGATTTTAATTATTAATACCTAAATGATTATATTTTACTAATCTTAAATTTTCATTATTTAGTTATGTCTTTGAATTTTTGTTTTTATTAGACTTAATAGTCTAATAGATAAAAATATTTTTTTTATTTTAACAAATATGGAGTTTTATAAAACACTAGCCTAGAGATTTAAAACACCAAATCTAATGTTTAGCAGCTCATTTATGCCATAAAGAAATTGGATTTAATTTTTAATGGTAAAAATTAAAAACAAAGATTAGGCAGTTCAATTCAGGCAGAGATGTGATACAGTGTAAACATCTCCTCTAAGTGATATTTTAAAAATTAATGTGTTTCTATTTTCGAAAACTTCATCAAATAGATTATTTGATTTTAAAAGTAAACAACTTAATTAAACATGAACAATATTATGTTAATTCTATTTGGTTGGACCTTTAGGGGTTATATAGTCAAAGGGTAGGACCATATTATACAGGTTGGAAGTTTTAGAACAACTTTATTTTCCCTTTTAAAACACAATTTCTTCTATTCTGTATGCCTGTTACAAGAAATGGACTGACCTAACCAATAAAACTAATAAAAGATAGAATAATAAAAAATACTTCTTTTTATTTTTTTTTAAAGTTTGTCTTACATAGTTGTAATACGTGTTAGAACGTTGAATATTTTTATTTATTTATATATTATTTAAAATATCCTAAGATTTTTAATTAAAATTATTATTTTATTTTTAGCTATTTTTGCTTTTCTACAACTCTCTGTGGCACAAGATACTCCACAACAAGGAAATATTAATCCAGGTAGGCATATTGTAGATACGATTAAGGACCTTTGACTTTGACAGTTAAACAAATTTATTCTTATTTGTCGACACACAAAACTCCCCCAAAAAATATTGATTATAATTTACTTAAAAATGGAAATATACTGATAAAAAAATAGTGGTTGTTATTAACGTTTCTTATTATCTATTCAGCAAGAATATCTGCTGTTCTCCCTGTAGATCTATGTGATTGACATTGGAGTTCGCCCCTCTATTGCTTGTTCTACTCAAATTGACTATTTTTTGTATTTTTTTGTCGCTTAAAGTGTTGTTCATTTAGAAATAAAAGTCGAATGTTCTAGCCACAGCTAACTTAATTGTAAAAAATTAAAACAATTTAAAAATTAACAATAATAATAACACACGGTTTCAGTATAACAACATTCAAATTGATATGGAGAAAAATCTTTCAACTTTAATTCTTCAGAATACATAATTCGTTTCCAAGCCAAAACGGCCTGGAAATGATAATCGGTCATAATTTTGGCGAGGTCAACGCTCTGGAAACTACCTATCCTTTTTAATCTTTTTATAATTAGTTTTAATTTTTGACAAGTTTTATGTCAATTTGTAGTATATGACGTCTAGATATTTTATATATCGCCAAAATTATCATCGATTGTCATTTCTCAGCTTCCCAGCCGTCTTTGACGCCGCGCCGTTTGTTTCGATCATACGGTACTTTTTTACCAGACTAGAGATCCAGCGGAACTGACTCTTAAAATAAATTTCCTCATGCTGGTATAATTTTGAGAGTGATAGGTGGTACCAAACTTTACCTAGTCAAGTAGAAGCTAACCTTATCCATGCAAGTACCCCTTCGATTGGTGAATTTTTACTCCCTCGCATTCCATGACTTTTATTCGTTAATCCAGCCATATTTCGTTATAGTCTAAGAGCTAACAACGTTTTCGAGAAAGTATTTTAGGTTTTTGATATATTTTCTACTATGCTCTCTCTGGAACAGCATCGGAAGAAGATCCTATATTCAATTATTACCTTGTAGTACGTGTCGCACGTGTGCGGTAAAGCTTTGTTGCCGCTATCTCCCTGGCTGTATTAACGCATTTTCTTAGCTTGTAGTCCTTAAGTGTTTATTTTATTGACTTTTTCTGTTCAAAAACTATAAAATATGGTTCGCCAGTGCCAAATTTGCAAGAAATTTGACTTAAATAATCCATTTAAGTCTTGAATCAATTTACCCATTGGCAGTCAGTGGCGTTGTTGTAGAAAGGCGCTTATTTAGATAATATTTTAGTAAAATGTAAAATCTGAATTTTTTCTTTTACATTACATTATTTACTTACTTACATTGTAACAAAATCATAATTATAACCCTGTTAATAATTAATAATGTTTTTATTAAAAATATATTCCGGTTTATTCCAAAATTATCTTCAGAATCCAAAATAACGTACAAGAATTTTAAAATGATATTATATTATGAAACAATATTTTTTAATATACCGGGTCGTCTCAAAAGTGGCTCAACCCTATAACTTTTTTTATTTTTTCAGATAAAAAAACAGATTTGTATGTTATTAGGTATATGACATAAATTAGGTTTTATTGACGTATTCAATTGTTTTTGGTCTCTTCCTGTTTCACCGAAATGATTACATCTTTTGATTTTTAAAGGCACCCTCGGTATATTGCTACTTTATTCGATAAAAAATGACACTCTGAATAGAATGACATATCATATGTCAACTTTTGACATTGTCGCTTAAAAACATATCCTATTTTAAATTTCAATCCAGTTTTTTCAATCCACTAAGTTTTAATCAAGGAGCCTTGGAAAAATAGTTTTGATCGTCTAATAGGTTTCGTGTCTTGTCTAGGCCGGTTAAAAGATGTACAAATCGTATTTTTAATCATACATATGTCAATTTTTTCAAATGGAACAAGGGTGACTCATTAGCATATTTGGAAAAAGCATTTTTTTATGAATATATTGATATCACACACTTGGTATTTCGAGTCAAATTGTCGTTATGAACCGCGTGTTACAATTACAATTAAACCATATGCGAAAATGTCAAAATTTGACATATGATATGTCATTCTATTCAGAGTGTCATTTTCTATCGAATAAAGTAGAAATATACCGAGGGTGCCGTTTAAAAATTAAAAGTTATAGTCATTTCCGGTGAAACAGGAAGTGACCAAAAACAACTGAATGCGTCAATCAATCCTAATTTATTTCATATACTAACATACTAAATCTTGTTTTTTTTATTTGAAAATATAAAAACATTATGGGGGATGAGCCACTTTTGAGACGCACCCGGTATAATAAAGACAGTACCGAGTTAAATAAATGTAGTTTTTATTTTATCCACTTCCTATCACCTTCCTTGCTTTAATGGAACAGATTTATGTTTTCTCTAATTTACATAATAAGACATCACTTAACCAGAAAAAAAATTACAACAATCATATTTTTTCTCTCTCCCTGTCGCCGATTCTATTACATCTGTGGAATAGATCCTGTTTTGATTAATATTAGGGGTTGTAAATGTTTGACTAAAATTAATAATTTATTATTAATTTCAAAAATTACCTAATTTCGATTATAAAATTTCTTCTATAACGTGTATTTTATTATTTTTATCCTTTTTGGACTCTAAATTGTTTTTTCTAAACTTTTATTTAAAAAACCTGTCCTAAATCTTAATAAAATATAAAAAAGTTTAAATACGATATATTTTTAATTTAATTATAGCTTCATTAAAATAAAAAAATTACCCGGTAGATGATACGGAGAGTTCAGGTGTACTTGAGAAACGAAAGACAGTGTTGTGTTTCTCGGCAGAGTCGTCAGGGAACGACCGTTACGACAGAGACAACCTATCTATTGCTCGTGTCGCACTCGTTATAACCTAAAACAATAACACAACAATAACAAGACAGTGTCTGACCGCATGTTCCAGCTATTTATAAATGAGATGCTCAGTCCATATTTTATTTTAAGTCTATGGTCTTAATATATTTAGATTGCAAGGCAAAAAAACGGCGGCTTTTTGACAAACGGTTCAGTCGTTAATACGTGAAGTCTATCATTTAATTTATTCCTTCATTTTATATCCAATATAGCTTTTAATCCGTGGTAGCTCTAGTTTCTACTTGAGTTTTCTAATTTTTACTGTAATTGGTAAAGTACGTAGCGTGAATGGGGGATGTCATAGACACGGATAGATATTTAATTAGTATCAAGGGTCGAATGCTTATGTCAGTCCCTTGATTTTGTTGAAATATTTTATGGTTAGCGTCAGACGATCAGTTTACTTCTTTGTTTCCCTAGCCTTGTTGGGCCTAGTTCATTACTGTATTACTTTCTTTTTACCAAATTTCTGTTTTTATGACAGTATCGATTACATCTCTGTTTGGAAAAAAGTAATCTTCAACCACTTCAACTACAGATTTATTAATCATCATAATTCATGAAAATTTCTTAACTAAATAAATCTCTCCAAAAAAACCTATATGGGTATTTCGCCACTGCAAGAAAATCTACAAAATAAAATAGTTATTTTTGTTGAAACACTTCTGCGTTAATCCAAACCGAAACTACTTGTCAGAAGTTAAGTTTTCAGATATACAAATTTGCCTAACGAACAAAAAATGCTTATTTAAATATACAAATTTGCCTAACGAACAAAAAATGCTTATTTAAGCATTTTTTGTTAGTTAGGCAAATTCGTATATCTGTAAACCTAACTTAGTGTTTATAAAAAATAACTATGACAACAGAAGTGTTTAGAAAAAATAACTATTTTATTTTGTAGATTTTCTTGCAGTGGCGAAATACCCATATAGGTTTTTTTGGAGAGATGAATCCGCCACATAGCTATAGACATTTTTTTAAATAAATCTGTTACAGAACATAACTCTATGAAACTTTTTTTCTTTCTTTTGTAATATCTACTTTTTTATCTAGGTGTATTTCTAACATACTGAATTTTGTAGAATCCTCTACAGAGACATCGACTACTACAACAACAGCATCGCCAAGATTTAGGTCGTGCTTTGCAAACTGTCGGACTGTCAGCCATTACAATCCAGTCTGTGGGTCAAATGGTGTGACATATGACAACGAACAAAGATTAAACTGTGCTCAAAGATGTGGCCTAGGTAAATAGTAGATAATAGAACAAAGTTGGTACGGTACAGTTTATGGTTCCACGAGTAGAGCAAAGAAACATTTTTTTGTCGACAAGAAGTTGAATATAATTATTGGTTCACACCGAGGGGTGTCTCACTGTTGATTGGCAGTCGCTGGTAGTCGTTGGCATCAGTTGCGTATAATTATATGGTAAATATAGGAAGTCTCCTTGGCATTAAAATTATATTTTAGCATTACATGTACATTTTTTACCTAAGTGAGGCACCCCTCGGCCTCGGTCCATATTTAAAATATCTTTGCCACATTTATTTTGATAAATAAGCAGAGGCAAAGAGTGCAAAATTGGTTAAAAAAATTCAATACCTACTTAGATTTTATAAATTCAGTACCTACTTAAATTTATAAGAAAATTGCAATTTTCGATTGTAAATTGTAAATTCGAAATTCGAAAAAATTAACAACAGCGACTTCTCTTGACCGATTTTCTTACCAATTGTTGTTTTTCTTAAGTTCTCTTTATTGCTCTTCAAAGTCCAAAATAACCGAGATATTGTAATTTGAAAATTTTTAAAAAAATATGATTTTTTGCTTACATTTTGAGAAGCAATGAATGTTTTCAGGGTTTTCTTTTTTTTAATTTAATCTATCACTTATGTTGCCAAATATTAAGATTTTATGTTTTTTAACTAAAAATTAAAAAAATATTATTTTTTTTCCGAAAGAAACCTCATAGTCGTGTTTCTAGGCTCGAAATATAATACTACCCCTAAAATATTTGCAGTTACTGAAGACCCACCCTGTATATAATATTTTACTACAGATTTTATTTATTACATAATTCTATTAAATTTTGATATTTTATTTTTCAGATGTTCAATTGGTCCGAGGTGGAACATGTGCTCCATTGAGATAAACATACATTTTAATTAATAAACGCAGATTTTTTTGTATATAAAGGCTTATTTATTGTTACATTTTTACACTAAAAATAAAACTTTTTGGTTTTAACTTGGCTGCTATTACTCAAAACCACAGCTTATTCACTACCCAGCTGGTCACACTGATGGTCTGCGAAAAAAGAAAAATTATCGAAAAGGAACATCGGAGAAGATCAGGCGAATAGCTAAGCAGTATAAAATTAAAAATGTTTTTAAATCTGGGACTACTCTAAGAAGTATCCTAACAAAAACAAAACCGGAATCATGTTACCAGGAGAAAGGCTGCATCTACCAGGTACCTTGCCACTGTGGTACCTTGCTAGAATTCCTTTTTGATTTTAGCCTCACTAATGGCGTGGAAATTTAATTTTTATAAATTGAAATGCGTCACCAGTCTTGTCCATTGCTTTCACAAACTATTTGGCCAACTCTAGTTTGATTTGCAAGGGCGGCAATTAGCCATCGCTGACGCCGATTTTATTCGATCATAGGGTATATATTTTCCATCGGGACCAAAGAATCGTGCGCGACATTTTTCTGACAGGGAATAGAACTTTTTCGCAAAATTTATTGTAGCTTCTATATATTTTTATACAGCAACACGTTGCTTTATATGTTTCTATATACATCTAATTTTATCATTTAATAGGAATGGAAGCTGAAATATGCCAAAAAATAATAATAAATATAATATAGTGAAAATAAAACAAATTATAAAAAACGGAAAAATTGATCACGTTTGCTGATTTTATTACAATTTGAGCGAGACTACACCAAAAGTTCATGCTATCAGAACACTTATTCTCTCTAGTACCCGAAAAATATGAATGTAGTAGTCAAAATAATAATTTTCATCCCCCAAAACTATCGAAAAGCAGTAAAAATAGGTGAGGGGATCAACCCCCTAAACATGGGGTGATGGAAGAAAAATATTTTAGTTTTTATCGTAGGAATCGACAAGAACTGTGGCAGGGCCGATTTTCATATAGACCAATATAATAAGAAGCGGATCCAGGATTCGGGAAGGGGGGCTATACACAATATTTTACTCAAAGAACATACTCCAGAGTCGTTTGTGACTAAATAAATTAATAATATCGTATTCTTTGGCTAAACCAAGGAGGGGGTTTGAGCCCCCGAAGCTCCCCCACCCGTGGATCCGCCACTGAGTATAATCCTCGTTTGTTTTTGCAATTCCGCGTTTTTTACCTGTCATCCGTTCTTACCTTTTTACCTGTGTCTCGTGCACATGCTGGAAGTTAGAGCACCAGTCTCACAGTTTTTCAAGTCTCAGTAAAGCTAAGAGAATCTGACTTGTTACATAACAAAAAAAGCCACGCGAATGATCGTAGATGGGAAGGCTGGTTGTAAGTAGTCTGTTGGAAACAGAGAAAATAACAAATAAAACACATTCTTAAAATTATTATTTCTAACTGTATTAAATATGTTAAAAACATACAATAAATACACCGTTCGAATGTATATGTGCTTAAAACTAATATTATTCTGGATCGAATGGCCTTACCATTTCAAAAAAACACTTTTTTTTAAATGGCATGCCTAAAACAAACAGTTATTTTTCAAAGAGAACTATGAAATTATTCAGTTCCAATTTTTAAATACTTTAATAAATAATGAGTATATAAGGTTATGAATAATAAGTCTAATTTACTGGATTCTACTCTTAAATACTTTTTTATATAAAATAAATTAAAATATATATGTTAACATGGTGACAGCAACATTTATGTTTCTTTTAAATATGTCGTTAATACACGAGTAAAATAATAATAAAAATATATTTATCTACTATCGCTATCTTTATATGAAAACAAAAACAAATGAGTATACAGAACGCAGACTACCAAAAGATTTGCAATAAATGTAAGACTATAGTCTATACTTATGTTACGGGTGCATTTTTCAAAAAAAATCCTTGATATTTTACCATTGAAAGAGAAATCTTAAATAAAAACTTTTTTCAAGAAATGTAAAATGTTTTACTACATAGAGGTATCGAAAAAAATCTATAGGATCAAGTCAGTATGTTCAATAAAACAATAACTCAATCTGACAAGTGTGACAATGGCGGACAATTGAAAAAATACCCTTTAAACATAAAATTTTATCTTGTTATTGGTCATCCTGAAATGGTTTTTGTCTGAATAATAAAAAAATCTTTTATTTGCTGCAAACCTTTTGTACGTTCCTGTATAATGTGAGGTTTAACAATTGAAGACTGAGGTAAAGATTAGTGTGAACGAGATTTAAACATCGAATTTCTTCATGTCATCTAACATAGCACAAAAATGATATACTTTTAAGAACTAAATACTTACGATTATTACTTGAAAATTTGTTAAAAAATTGTTTTATAGTTAAGTATTTACGGTTAAATAGATTTTATATAGCACAGAAGTTATTGATGTTAGTATAGGGTCCATTCTGGTTTATCTTCAGTCAGAATGTTTATGAAATTATTAGATATTTATATAGAACAAAGGGGAGGTTCTCTGGACCATTATTTCTTTGACTAAACGGGGGACACTATATTGGCTACAGTGGCTTTTTCATTACGTCAGACATTTTACACTAAAATATTTTAGCTAAATAGTTAGACTTTCTTATCCTTGACGGCACGATAACATTAAAGCTGTGGCATATTAGATTACTATTCCGTACATTTGTTACAGTTAAAACCATGAAATCAATTTATACAGTGTTTGTAATTGAAACAAACTGTAACAAAAACAAATATTAAAAAACTTTTATTTTCAACCACATAAAATGTTAATGTTGACTTGTTGACTCGCTTGTCTTTTCCCGTTTCTTTTGTTCTTCTGCTCTTGAGGTACCAATCGATATGGTCTTCGATATTATAACTCTCTGATAATTTTTGACTTTCACTGGTGCTCAAATTCAAAAGAAAGAACAAGAAATTTACTTTTTGAAGGTTAGCGTGTCAATACAAAGACATATTTTCAGCATTTATTCACTTTACAACAGGTTGTTATAAATTGAAGCCCCACGTTGGGCGCCAATTTATAACAACGCCGCATTGTTATACTTTTTTTAAGGGTCAACAAACAAGTAGTAAAAGTGGTAGATCTGTTTGAATAAATGAACCTTGATCTTTCGGGTTCTATATAGATATGTGTGTACTAGAACACTTTATATTGCAATATAATACACAATACTTGTCCACTATTTATACACTAACTCAAAATATTTACTATTATTTATCTGTTAACTGATTTCAGGTTTTAACTGGAACACATCTAAATATTACAGCGGCTTACAAATGCATAAAAATATCATTCCTACGTAATATATTCTACTAAATTTAATATTGCATCAAAATAACGGTATATCACTTCTCTAAAAATCAAATAAGTACTTACAAAAATTATTATAATCTATGGAATGTATATACATTTATAATAATTATTTAATATGACTACAACTTAAGGCCAATTAATGATAGTACGTTTAGAGAAAAGTAGTGAGGATTTGTTGGAAACTCTTGCTATTTCGATATTAATGATGGGCTTGACATAATTGAAACCCATTCACTAGTAAATTTAATTATACTTTTATGCATGTTTAAATTGAATTAAAACATTAATCAATATTAAGTTGAAGTTGAATAAATATTTAGGCCTTCTTCAACACCTACCTTAACTCACCTCTCACTACTTTTCCTAATAAATCTATTTTTTTCAGAAATAAATAGAACATTTTAAAGAATACCTTTGTATTATCATAAAAAAATAAAGAAGAACCTAAAAAATCTGCTACATGGACTTATCGGAATATATTATTTCTTTTTCTCTAAATATACTAGTTTGTTTAACACACATTTGACATATAATCGTGAGTCTCAAAGTTCCTGGATAGGTAAAAGCAAATGAAGACATGTTTGAAATAGGCGTCACTAAAGTTAAATGGTAAGTAATCGCTGAGCCCAATCATGACGGGAAAAGATATTATTATGCTATCTATGATTTTTTACCAAATGAAAGAATTCTGATTTTCATGACGCCATACACCAAAAAGGTACTGCTTAGCGATACCTTACCCATTTTTATTTCGAATGAATTAATTTTAAAAGACTATCAAGAGTGATTAGTAGTCTGAAGGATGGTCTGCACTGCCTTCTATATCTTGATCGTCGTCGTCTTCGTCGTCGCTGGAGTTATCCACGCTGTTGCTCTTACGGGTTTCTTGCTGCTTCGCCTCATTCGATTTCATGATGGTGTCTGAAAATAGAAAAGCATTATATAGGGTGATTCACGGCGATGGCACGTTATACGTTTATGGAGAACCGGTAGGGTTGCCACCTGTCCTTTGTTTTTTACCAAATTGTCCTTTGGCTTTTTTTGACCTAAAAATCCTTTTTATTTATGTATTTCCCCTGAGAAAATTACCTACAGCAAGCAGCAATACTCCTTTCGTTCAAATTTAAACATTAGACATGTTCTAAAACTTATACATAAATGTTTTTTTTTAAACAACCAACTCAAATGTTACAAAAGTATGAATTTTTGCAACGTGATTGCAATATAAAAAAAACTCATTTTAACGCCCAGGCATAAAAGTAAAGCACTTTTACGCCTTAGCACAAAAATACGAAATATATTATTAAACTGACATAACTCTCAAATTCAACGAGTGTAGCCCTGTAACATGCCTGTAACCCCTAGATCATACACAGGGTGTTTCAAAAAACATGTGCCATCTCTCGTGGGGAGATTCCTAACGTAAAAATAAGATTTATTTTTCATATCAACATAGGTCCGATTCTGCTTTGTTTCGTAGCTACAGGGTGTTAAAGTCTTAATATTTTTTCGATTTATTATAATTTTCTTCCAACCACTTTTAGCGTTTCGAATGAAATTTTGAAGGTAATAGTTACTATAAATGCCACATATTTTAAAACTAAAAAAGTGTCAACATATTCACCAGGGACGTGCGATGGGTTATCGTCTGTACGCCACTGATTTTTTTTCTCTTTTTAGCGAAATAGTGTAAACAGTTTAATGCCGATTAAAAGTTGTCTCTTGATATTTTGTCGATTTCGGCCTCCTTGATGATATAAACGCAATTTTATTAATTTGCCTTGATCCAAGTCTTATAGCAACCTCTAAAAAAATTAAATAGGTATCATTAACTTCCAAAAGGTTTAGATAAGTACTCATTAATTCCCCATCAAAAAAATATGAAAAAAACATGACCTTGAATAAGCATTGGTAAAATCATGAATTGAACATTTTTAAAGTTTAAATTTGGGTTATAACGAAAGTCGATATAATCAATTTGTCTAAATCAACCGATTGGATATTACACAGGAAGAGCAAATAACATAATATTTATTTCCGTTATAAAATTGCCCAAATATCTTTGTTGTTTTAAATTCAAACTTTCTTGAACAAAATTCTTAAGTTTTTTATTATATGAGCTACAGACCATGTTCACTAGATAGTTCTCTCTCTTCAGTCCTGACCCCCATTAGGGAGTGAAGTGGTCAGCCCGTAACATCATGGATAATTTTTCTTCATGCGCCTCTGTCTTTTGTCATCTCGACGACATCGTGCATTGGCTTGCTATAGCTAGTCGTGATCTGGTGTATCCATCGAGTTGGTTGGAGAGCGGGCACGTGGTCTACGTCCCTCCACCTTGCCTTGAATTATGAGTCTTTCCATATTGTCCGGACTTTTCCTAATTATATGTCCAAAATATTTTACTTGTTTTAGTCGGATTTTACAGGCAAGCTTGTTAGTAATATTAAGTTCATTTATAATGGAAACGTTTGTACGGTGTTCAGTCCATGGGATACGGAGCATACGTCTATAACAATACATCTCGGTAGCATCGATTTTCTAACGTTCCGCCTGCCTGAGAGTCCATGATTCGCAGCGATACGTGAATATTAGGAGTACCAAACAGTTGGCTAGCCGGTTTTTGATGGCTCTTGAAGTCTGGCGGTCTTTCCAGATCTTGGTCAGTCTCCCAACAGCTACCTTTGCCATGTTGCACCTACGCTTCACCTCTTCTTCCGATGTGCCTATATTTGTCAATAGTGATCCCAGGTATACGTATGACTTAACGACTTCAAAGCAGGCGATATGACTTATATTTGGATGGTTGTTATGTTGCCTATCAACTATCATGATTTTGGTTTTTTGTGTATTTAGTTTCAGATCGAGCCGATTGCTTTCGTTTTCTACCCTATTTACTAAATTGATTAACTCTTCTTGACTGCTAGCGAGTAGTGCTGTATCATCTGATTATTATCAGATTCATTAGATTATTTATTTTTTGGCCATTTATTGAAATGCCTCCTTCCCATGTTTCTAGCGACCTTCTCATTATGTATACTCCGTATATGTTAAATAGTTGAGGAGACAATATACACCCCTGTTTGACTCCTTGTTCGAGGGAAAATTCCTTTGAAGCTGAATCCAGTATTCTAACTGATCCTGTAGTGTGCTGATACAACTGGATGACCAGTGAAATAAGGTCTTGTGGTACCCCCACTTCCTTTAAGATTTTCCTCAGGTGATGCCATCTGACTTTATCAAAAGCTTTTTTATAGTCTCTGAAACAAATATAAAGAGAAATGTTGAATTCTCTTGCTTTCTCTATGATTTGGCGCACATTCAGAAGATGTTCCCGACTGCCCCTGCCTTTGGTGAAACCTGCTTGTTCTGCTGGAATTTCTCTTTCTAGAAAAGCTTTCAGTCTTTCATTTATAATTTGCAACATTACTTTACTGGCATGTGAGATGAGGGAAATTGTACGATAGTTGCTGCACTTATGTATGCTCCCTGTCTTGTGGAGAGTGACAATGGTGGAGTGTGTCCAGTCGTCGGGCCATTCACGTGTGCCATATTTTATTACAGATTAGATGAAGCATTTTTAATCCAGGTTCTTTAACGGCTTGTATTATTTCTGCTGTCATTAGGTCTGAACCTGGTGCTTTATGGTATTTTAATTTGTTTATGGCCAATTCAACTTCACTTTTAAGGATGTTCTGTTCTTTCTCTGAATTTTTGTGGTTGTCGACATAGTTATATTCTTCACTGTCTTTGTATAATTCTTCGCAATATGATATCCACACCTCAATAATGTCTTCTTTTTTTGTTCTTAAAGTTCCATTTTGATCTTTGATTGCCCAATTTTTGGCTTTAAAGTCCCTGGTAATATATTTTATTTTTTTGAAGAGGTCTCTTGGTTGGTTATTTAGGCGGTGTCCCTCGATTTCTTTGCATATATTAGAGTAAAATTGTTTTTTGTCTCTTCTTGCTCCTTGCTTTATTGCCGCAGTTGTGCATTTTTTGAAAGCTTCCCATATTTCTTGGGGTGTTGTATTTTCTGTTGAGGTAGTCATGAAAGCCTGGGTTCCTTGGAGAATTTCTTCGCTGTTTCTTTTTATTAATCTTGTTGGTGTTATGTGATTATTATTAATTGGTATGATCCACATATTGCCCCTGGTAATGTACGTGCTGTTTGAATGGAGGATTTCCAGCGGGTGTTGGTCAATATGTAGTCTATTTGATTCCGTGTTCTGTCTCCAGGACTGTTCTAAGTACCTATAGAGTCTGCGAATGTGGTGTTTAAATCTAGTGTTCTTTATAGAATAGCTGTTATTGGTGGCAAATTCGATTAAACGATCTCATCTTTCATTCCTCTCTCCCAAGCTGTATTTTCCAAGGATATTTTTTAGATCATCATTCACTTTGTTGTTCCATTTCCAAGTCGCCGCAAATTAATGTCAGTTCTTTGTTTGGTATATTCCTGATGGTAAGTTCTAATTTATTGTAGAATTCTTCGATTTCATTGTCTTATGCCGTTGCTGTCGGTGCATATATTTGAATGATGTTGAATTTATGAGGTTTGCCGTCTAGTCTAAGGAGAACTATTCTGTCATTCACAGCTCTAAATTCTATGACGGATTTATGGATTCTGGCTGATATCAGAAAAAAATCGCCTGTGAACGTTTGTTTGTCATTGTCAAAGAAATAGACATAATTTCCATTAGAGGTTTTGAAGTAGCCCTCCCCTAGCCAGTGTGTTTCCGCCAGTCCCGCAATTTCGATTCTGTACCTTGACAACTCACTTTTGATGATTGCTAGTTTACCCGTTATTGTCTTCAAACTCGATAGTTATTTCACTGAATTTATAAATCTGAGAACTCTTTTTTTTTAAATTAATCATAATTTTTACTGTGAATACGCCTTAAGTCGTCATGCCATCTGGTTAGAGGACGGCCTCTGCTCCTGAATGCATCGTGTTTTGGTCTCCATTCTATTATTTTCTTCGTTCATCGGTCATCGTTTAGCCTTGCAATGTGTCCCGCCCAATTCCATTTCAAAGTAGTTATTTTCTCTATGGCATCCATGACTTTTCTTCTGTCTCGTACCTCTATTCGATACTAGGTATGTACTTTGTCTCTCAGAGATAGCCCCGACATTGATCTTTCCATTGCTCTTTGCGTTATTCCGATTTTCTTACAGTTTTCTTGGTTAATGTTAGCGTCTCCACACCATACGTTAGGAGAGGTAGTACGCACTGATTGAATACCTTTCTCAGGAGCCATATTGATATCGAAATTAAATTTTTCATGTCAAAAATATCCCAGGTACCGAATATAATTTGGACCACCCTGTATACAACAATTTCGTTAATGTATAGTTTGTATACCATTTTGGGTCTTACTAGGAAATAGTACAGGACATTGAAAATCACAGTTGAAATGAAATCAGACTTGAATATGACTATAAACAGATGAATTTACAATAGTATCATTTATTTACTGTTATGTTTCATATACTAAATATAGGACACACAAATAGGTATGTAATCCAATCAATGTGACCTTCCAACTTGCATTAGAGCCCACATATCCGTTACATGCGTGTCGTATACACATTACAGCTTCTCACCTACTTATGTAATCACATTTAAGTAAGTAGATCTAGGTCGCAATCGATAGAATGCCCAAATCCGATAATTAATTATTAATCTGAACCAAAACACGGACGTTCCAGCGACCATGACCGGGGACCTAAAGCAACCCTTTTAATTGATCAAAGCCCCAGTTGCTAGACTTACCACAATTAGGTTTGGAGTGACTGCGGGTATTGGCGAATTCGACGCCGTGTTTGTCGACGCACCAGCACATTCCGATGGCGCTGTGGCACTGGATCGGCTTGTAGTAGCCCTGGTTGTCGCATTCCGGGACGTACACTCCTGCAATTAAACACACATATCCATAAATCATTTAGATAATTAAACAAATGAGGGTATTTGAGAAGATTCTTCGAAGTGGCGGTTCCTCAATAAGTACACATCTTTGAATAAAAAAATTATGGAAGGAACATATCAAAAAACAAAAGGAGGAGCTCGACGAGAGATTAATATGGCTGACTTAAATTCCGGTTTACCAGTGCCGTTGTAATTATATTTAAAACGTATAGGCTTGGTGCATTTCAGTTGTGTAAAACTTGGAAAATAAGTTCGTTATAATAATGCTTTTATTTATTCACTATTCTAATAAAGAATATGCATTCCTTCGGAAACTCTCTATTTATTTGTCTAGTAATGCTAAAACACTCTATTTGAAAGTCGATTAGAGAAAATAGTATGATTCATTGGCAAGCAATGTAAATATTTATGATCAGGTAAAATTGTGATGTAAGAGGAGGCTATCTTGCCGGCGGCGAGTCAGTAGTAGACGGGCCGGCCCATAGTTCTTCGTCCCATGGACAAAAATCGAAAAAAAAAGTTAAAATTTACTAATATCTGAATATGTAATTTTATACTTATAGCAATGTTCAACCATCCTGTATATTATTTTTCATAAACAGCGTTTTTTGTTAGCAAATATTTTCACTAAAAATAAATTTTGCGATCATTATCTTATATCAGTGAAAAAAATAACATTCATAGTAGTTCTGTGTGTATGGAGTTAGACGGTACGTACTTAATTGAAAGCCACTATGGATATTGTTATACAAGGTATTTACTTTAAATTTATTTTTAAACAAGTTCGTGATTGTTTAGTTTTTATTTATTTTTTAAGATGATTCTTAAATGGGTATAAAAATTTTACGTTTTCAAACTTCAAAAAGACATTTAAAAAAAACATATCAAAACATATCGTATTTATTGAATATTTTTGTTGTCAGATTCATACACTTTTAATTTTTGTATAGTTCACCTGCGTCTGCTTGCGACGAACTTTATTTTATAATACTTTTCAGATGGAGTAAAATTGATAAGCAATGCCGATCTGGTTAATACTTGGCTTGATCATAAGGATAAGAACTCAAAATTATTTGTATGTTAGAAAATGTGTTCTTTATTAGATATTGATAAACCTTCCAGTCAAATGAGACACCCTTGTGCCTGAAAAAGCCCACTATGTTGGAGCGAAACATCGCATAAAAAAGTTTCCATCTTTCAATTTATTATAAAACCTTATACCCAAGAAAAGGAAAAAATAATATATGGAAAGAGGTAACTATTAACATCCGAACCCCTCATACCAACAAAAAGAACATTAAGAACGTGAAAAATTAACATAATTAGAAAATGATATACAGAAATATCTTATATGTGATTTGGATACTTGGTAAATGCTTGAAAACTGGTTAAATTTGGAAGATTCTGTCAGCAGTTATTCTTCTGAATCAGGGTAGTTACGATCTATGCATTTTATTGTCCTAAAGTAAATTTATAGTATCTTAAGTTTTTTTTTAATTAAATATAGCATTAATGTTTCTTTTTCATTTAAGACAAACATTTTTATCTTATATTAGGCTTATATTGTAGGAATCATGTTCTAATGTTATTTCAATTCTTTTTTATCACAGGGATTTATTTAATACTTACACCGTTTTCATACTATAAATTATTATTTCCTTAGATTGAACACAGCTCCAACATTTTTATTATTTATAAGATTTTTTTTCATAAACGTGGGATTAAGAACATCATAATTTAGTACAATGAGAGTACTCATCATTTGAGTCAAATAAACCTAGTTTGAATAAATTGCCTACAATAAAAGAGAAGTTTTGCATTTTTGTCCTCTAGAGCCATATGTTCGAAGCACTGTGCGGCCGGCTGTTGTGTTGTGTTGTGTTTTGTCACAGAGCTGAGGGTTGCGAGTTTTTTGACTATCATAGTTGCGAGTTGTTTGACTGTAAGGCAACGCGGTCATTTGACCACAAGAAGAAAACCTCTTGTGACGTTCTTGCCTTCGAGTTGGTCTTGAGAGTTTGAGGTCTCCATAATGTCTTCTCGATTGACGATGCGGCGTTGGGGTAGTAATGTACCCCAATTAGCCTATTCGATTGGGATGCGAATCTGTTTAGCGGCAGATTTGCCCCCGGGGGAAGCCCCTATACTATTTCAGGTGACACTAGCTAGTTGTTGAAGATTATTAACCAATAGATCCGAATAATATTTGAATTAGATGGAAGATATGGAATGGGATATATTGAATAGAATGTCAGTGATGTCAGTGGCTAGGGGGCGGAGTACCCCCGGGTGAGTCTTACTATTTAACAATCAATTTTATCCAGATCAGTAAATGTTTGTTTAGTTATTTTCATGTACAATGAGAGAGTGCTTGCCAATGATCAACTAAATGGATATTTGAGGTGAATTTGCATTGTGAGACCCAAGTTAAGCCCCAGAAGTAAGCGATTTTACAGTTGATTTTAAGAAATTCCGACCGCAGCAATGTATACGGCAGAAACCAGAAATTTTCCCTATATATTTCATGTCATCCCGGTTACAGTTCACGTTGATTAAAGTAATATTGAAATCATGGCTTTGTTATAATATTTAAGTATTTTAGTTTTTTGCCAGTGCTGTTATTAAAATTATAAAATACTCAGGTACGATGTTTGTGTGATGTAACGCTGTTTCGGGTAGAAAAACAAAAAAAGTGAAAAAGAATTCGAACTAGGCTTCGTGTTGTGTTGTGATAATTTCAAATGTTAATAAAAATGGCGAAAAAATGTCAACGCGTAAAGGAGAGCGTAATTAGGGCGTTGTTGGGTGCAATAACATTCAATTGAATAACTGAACTTTCTCCGATATTCAACTCCCCCAAATCAACGTTTTATAGCTTCGTAGTTTCTCACACTGATTTGATCAAGAGCAAAAATGAATTCAAGCAGTTCGACGAAACAAGTGAGGAAACAAAGTGCTCGTTACATACCTAATCAAAAAATTAAATAGACCTATACTATGAGAGCATAAAATATAATTTATGCTCTCTTATAATAGAATACTTTCTAATCAACTAGTGATTAAATGTTTTATGAAAATCTTCTAAAATTATAATTATGTCTAAAATATAATTATAATTATATAGCCGAAATCGCTCCAATTATGAACCCACTAGCAAAACCGGTGCGTAAAACTATGCTCACTACTGTAGTTAAACTCTTCTAAAAAGTTTTTTTAGCTGGAATAATAAATTAAAGTTAGACCTTCTGAAGATATCAAAATATTTAGGTACTTTTTATTTTTATTATTAGAATTTTCACAAATTACACTTCTTAACACTTTTAGAATAATTATATTAAATTTTTCGTATACTTGCTATTTAAACCGGTGTATTATATCAGTTGTTAACGATATTCTCCTATGGTGGCAGCACCAGCGGAGAATGCACCAAGCCTATAAAAATATAATGTACGATAGGTTCGACAATTTATTACCTTTCTTTTATGTTGTCAATAAATGCTAGGTATTACTGGTATTACTTATTAAATTTGTAAAAAATACATTTCTAATAAGTATAGATAATATGTTAAATATAATTTTAGATACGCTACTAAAACACGGCAGTCAAATTGAAGTATACTAATTATTTTTTTAAGTAGCAAAAAAAACCGTAAATGAATCCTTGTCAATTTCTCTTTGGCTAAAACTTCAAGTAATAATGAAATCGGCTAAGAGTTTATTCAAACGTATTAGTTTCATCTCCAAAATGTTTATATAGTTAATACATTTATCCATTGCATTACAGCAAATAGACCCTACCTAACAAATCTGGTGTTATTTTACGCCTGACTGCAGCGCATGGTCTCTCGGTTCTCTGGAAACACTTGCACCATTCGATGGGAGTGACGATGACATCACGGTCGACGTCACACTGTTGCAGGAACGGCTTCAGGCAGACTTCGCTCTGGTCGTGTTCAAGGTCGTACAGCTCCTGGAGAGACAGCTTGGAATCAGCATTCATGTCGAGGTGTTGGAACATCCATCGTACTTCACCCTTGCATGTCGTTGGGAAATGAACTAAAATTGGACAGAATTTGTTTTTAAATGTGTATAGAAAACAAGAGAATGAAATTTAATATTTTTGAGAAGGTGGGCAGATATCTTCTATATGTACAGGGTGGCGCCTCTCATACGCCGCGCCGCGCCTCGCCGCGGAGGTTCCAAGGAGAACGGCAGTTTGTATTGAAGTTTATTTATTTTATTTAGCGTATGGCGTACATGGATTTAGTTACATCAAATGTATATATTCAAACACAATATAACATGTAAACAGATTGTCACAAATTGTAAAAATAAAACTAGAAATCTAAAAATTTATAAAAAAAGTTATACACAAAACATATTACAAAAAGTACACTTAAATTTTAAAATCGAGGCTATTGATCCAGTTCAACACGGTGTCGGTGGCTTCAAAGAAATCACTCGCTTCTCCTCCATATGCTGTAAGAGGGCATTCAGTTACAATGTGATGAACAGTTTGACGTGGTTCTCCGCAGTCACAAGTAGGTGATCCGGTCAGTCCCCATTTATAAAAAGAATCCCGACATATGCCATGAGACGTTCTTACCCTGTTGAGTACCTTCCACTCGTGGCGGGGCAGCTCCATCCCTGGTAGAGCTGCTGTAGGGTCGATGACATAAGCTGCTTGATCTGGTTTCAAAGAGTCCCAGTACTCCCTCCATTTATCATTTTTACTGAAGTTTTCTCCCAAAAGTTGTTCTGCTAATAGTAGTGGGGGGGATCTAGACTTCAGTCTTCGCAGACGGGTATCTGGTAAGTCTTTGTGGACTGGAAGGTGGGGATTTGATAATATTTTCTGATATTCCTTAACGAGTCTTTCCTGTCTTCGAATACTGGGAGGTGCAATATGCCTCAGAGTGGGTAGCCAAGGTAGAGGTGTGCTTTTTAAACAGCCGCTGACTATTCTAATAGTCTCATTAAGTTTGGTGTCAATTATCTTTACGTGGCAGCTGTTTAGCCAAACTGGAGCGCAATATTCAGCAACTGAGTAAACTAGCTGATGTTTTAAGAGTGGATGCGTTTAAAACATCAGCAATATTGAGGTGCATCAGCATGTATTGAAGTGAAATTCTGTGAGTGCATGTAGGTCAATTCGGAGCACTTTTTAAAAATACAGAGAATGCTATAGGGTATCCCCAAAAAAGTTACATATCAAAGTTGTGTTTTTTGTAATGGAACACCTTATATATGAATTGATGTTCGAATTCTGTGAGAAAAATAAAGGTTAGTTTTATAAGAGAAGTATATGACTAAAATGTAAGATTTTTGACATATTTAACATTTTCTAGAAAAAAAGAACAATTTTTAAATTACAATAAAAGCTACCTAAATTGGAATTTACCGGGTATAGCCCAATATGTAGTTAAATTAACTATTGTACTTTAAATCAAATTAAAACTTTATCCAAGAAATCATACAGGGTGAGAGAAATTAATATTGAACATTGGTCACCTTTAAAAGCATGTTACCTTTTATTTTAAATGGAACACCCAGTATATTATTCTGATATTCAATGGAGAATTCATGTCTCTTCAAAATACTATTAAGGTTGCTTACCCCTCAAACAAAGATTTTCCTAAATATTTTCATTCACATGATTTGATCTGAGTAAATCTTTATTATTTGGTAAAATCTAGGGTGGCTGTGATATGTCTGACTTTACTTCAATATAGCTGTCTAATTAGTCCAACATTAATAACTAGGTATCATTTTGTGTCAGTTAAAACAAAAAAAAAAAAATTTAGAAATTTGCCGAAAATGGAAATTTATCTTACATAGAGAGAATTGATATGCTTCAATTAGTTGGTGAATGCAGTGTGCATTCATCAGTTAATAGAATACTTAAATGCTCTTGATTGTATCTAGTCTGGATTTTTTATGAGGATACGTTAAAGACAGTGTTTACAAAACTCGACCAACTATTGTCGACAACATGAGAGAAATATTATTATTGTAGCTGCTTTTCGAGGTAGAACTCCACATAAATACCTTTTAAAATCAAAAGATCCTTTTGAAAAGACAATCATTTTATGTAGTTAACAGGAAAGGAAGCATTTTGAGCATTTGATTTCATCTAGCTAATCACATAATGATAGATATCTAGTTTTAATTCTGTAATAATTAAAATATGTTTTAAACGTGTATATGTTTATAACCGTTGATTAGTTTACTCTACAATCTTTAATTTTTGTAAAATTAACAAAAGGTATATCACAGCCCACCACTAGATTTTTTTCAAATAATAAAAATCTACTGACGCAAAATCATAAAAATTAAAATATCTAGGAAAATCTTTGTCTGAGGGGTAGGCAACCTTAACAATATTTTGAAGATATATAAGTTCCCCATTGAACACCGGAATAATATACTGGGTGTTCCATTTAAAATAAAGGAGTAACTTGCTTTTAAAAGTGACTAATGTTCCATATTAATTTTGTCTCACCCTGTATAACTTTTCGGGTTAAATTTCATTTGGTTTAACATACAACAGTTACTGTAATTAAATATCAGGCTATACAAAGTCAAATATAATTAGCTGTTATCGAAATTTAAAATTTACTCTTCATTTTCACAAAATTTGAAATATGTCAAAATCCTTAGATTTTAGGTATATGCTTCTTTAATAAAACTCACCATTATTTTTTTCCTAGAATCCGAAAATCAATTAAAAAAGAATTAGAAAAAACACAACTTTGATGTGTAACTTTTTTTGGTGACACCCTGTATAATTCTATATATATTTTTATAAAATGCTTTCAGTTATAATAACCTACTTATGCTGCTAAAATTTCATTTCGATATAAACCACCGTTCTCCTTGGAGCTTCCGCGGCGTATGAGAGGCGCCACCCTGTATATACAGGGTGAGCTAAAAATTTTCAATGGGAAATCTATAAATATAAGGAATAATTAAAATTATAAAATATAATAATCTTTTGCATTTATTGCTATTTTTTTTTGCCACATACTGTATGTACATTTTATAGTAATTTAGTGCAAGAAAGAAAATCGAAGAAATGTTGAAAATGTAAGCTTCTTTAATATATTTATATTCTAAATATATTAACATCGACCACATTTTCACAATAATTTACTCAACATGAACTTTACATTAACCCTAAACAACTAATCGAATTACATAATTTCAAGAACGGGAGTATCTACTCTCAGAAATTGCATTTTGATTGTATTATTTCTAAAAGATCACCAGAGCAAACTCTGCTACCTCCGATATAAAGTGCATTTTGAATTAATTTTCGCGTTGTTTCAGAGCAATGTTGCATTTACCAATATTTTACCGCAAAAGCACTTTACGTTTACAAATTATAGAATTTATAATTGAAGTGCATGCGCCATTAATAATATACAACCATTTTAAATAATGGTAATACCACTTCGAAACGTCTGGGGATTTCGTTCTCAAACGCAAAATTAAAGCATTAAAATAGTTTTGTTCGTAAAATTACAACTAAACTCCGCTTCTCAGTGGTTTTTTACTAAATAAATTTAATCTACAAAGAAGCAGAAATCAACAGAAGAATTACGTTACTTATGCAAGAAACCCAATTATATTCAAATCTAGAATACTACTTTATCTGAAGAAGCAAACATTCGACCAATGTGTACTAGCAGTCATGACCTATGCATGCACAAAACAGACATTATAAGGAAACTGCAGTTCCTACAACGCTCAATGGAACGAAATGTGCTCGAAATAACTAAAAAAACCGTAAAAGAATAGAGTGGATACAACAAAAGACCTAGGTAATAGAGACGTCATCCGAATACGAATCAAATCCTTCAAGTGACAATGGGCAGGACACCTGGCAAAAAGGACGGACAACAGATGAATGTCAAAAAATACAGCATGATATCCAGGAGGAATAAAGAAACCTAGAAGAAGACCAAACCTGAGATGGGACCATGATATTAGGAAATTAGCAAGGATAACTTGAGCCCGCATAGCCAACAATAGAAAACAATGGGCTCCGGTGCGTTTTTATATACAAGGAGCTGTAATAATTCATCCAAGTAATTCTTTGAAATACTTACGAGTGTGGCTGGACGACAAACTGAATTTTTCGGACCATATTGGCGACTGGAGAGGCTATAGGGGTTATATCTGTAAATATCACCTATTGAACTGCTCATACAGGAGCGATATGATAGATATCATGGGATGGATAAGGATCTAGCGAGAACAAAACTTCTCCAACAGTGGCAGGACAAATGGAATACGGAATATACGGTAGATGGACATACAGGTTAATACCCGACATTCAACTATGGTTGAACAGATCATACGAAGAAGTGTATTACTACATGAGTCAAGCATGTTTGGCCATGGAAACCATGGATGGTTTTTTAAAATATTTGCGTGATCGCCTAACGGTTCTCAAAAAAATTATGTAAATGATAAATCATGCACCTATTGCGGTCAGGTTGATGATGTTCAGCATACACTGTTTGCGTCCGAACGATGGCAGGTCTTCGACTTTATGATATACTGAGTTGAAGGGGTTGTTGGTGGGGAAGCTCCTGGTCAGGTGCTGGGGGGAATCCCCCCTAGCAGTTGGCTTGGTCTAAGAAGCATCTCACTCATCGTCTTGTCCCTGACTGTAGTGTCGTGGCCAGGGAATTGCACCAAGACATATAACGATACCGGGCGGAGCTACGGACAGCCTCAACCTTGGGGCATCGGGGGGCACCCCATTGTATTTTACCCCTTACTTCTACATGCGGGGCTCTGTAGAAGTGGACCGACTGTCCCTAGCGACTCATGGGAACACTATGAGATCTGGTAATAATAGTAATAAAAACATCACCGGTGAAGCTGTGGGGAAACCCCCTAGCAACACTGGGAACAGTAACAATGAAAGTTCCAAGGGGCCAAACCCAAAGAGAAATACAGGAGATGTGGCTGACACTTGCGTGAGACCATCCTCCGCAAATGGCATACAAGTTACCACCTCCTCCAAGGGTCGGGAGTCTACCTCCTACCTCTAAACCCAACAGGTGACACAAGCTACCGTTTCGTCTACCCGGCCTGGGTCGTAGCTCCTCGACTGTGAAGGACACGGGTCTCCGTAGGAAGTCCTGGGACTGTATGATGAGTTATAAACTCAAGAAAGGGGGACACAATAGATCTCTAAGGTCGCAGAGATTAACCCCCCTCCCACTTATTCTAATTCTAATTCTATTCTAGTTGAAGGGGAAGAACAATGGACGCTAATATATTGGATAGTCCGAAGTATCATAAACTGTAAATAGGAGACAAAGGGCATGATAAGATAAATCTAGACACCCTTTGCATTGAATTAAGTTCTTCTCAATATCGTTAGACTTTTTAACAATTATAGTGTACTCACTTGCAGAAAAAGTGGATATAATCGAACTTTATTTTAAAAATAATGAATGTGGCAATCGGTTTGCGCAGATATTCAATGAACGCCATCCTGACAAAAACCTTTATGGCAAAATTGTTCGCGATTTAGTAGCAAAATTTCGTATTGGGCCAAGTTGCCATGGGTAGTACGCTGAGTACAAGAAAATTAGCCAATGAGACCGCGACCGGCGTGAATCGTACAAGTGTCCAAACGATATTAAAAAAACACAAGTTCCACCCGTACAAAATTCAGTTGATACAAGAACTTAACGAAGACGATTTTGATCGTTGCGGGCTGGTATTTTTGGAAATTCTATCGTGGGTCAGTTTAACGATATTGAAACCGCACCTGGTCGTTGTGGCAAGTGAAAAAATGCGTAAACATCTAGAAATAATAAGAAAAAACAGCAAATTGGTCGAAGGAATTTATCCTTATAATTTACTCTGATAAATGTTTAAATAAAGTTTTCCAATTTCAATCTTTCATATTTTCTCAATGACTCGACCGATTTTCAAAAATGAAGCGGGGAAATATAGAGAATAGAAAGCTCTTTTCATTACGGCGCCACTTGACCCCCTTCCCATTTGAAAAAAGTTGGAGGATGACACCCCCGCTTAGAAGGTTGAAGATTTTGCAATCATTTTTGGGGCAAAAGTTGTCCCCCTCACAAACAAAATTGACGTGTTTTTGGATTTTTTGAAAAAAAAATATCCTGGCCGTTATGTCTTGCGGAATATTTTCGATGGGACACCCTGTGTAAATATGTGAGGAAGGCTACACCATAATTGGAAATGGTCTAATAAGCTAAAAATGACGATTATGATGATGATGATGATGATATAAAATTCATAGCAATACACCTAGATTTTTTGAAAAAATCAGCATTATTTAGAGAATTTCGAAACGATGCCATTTGGTGACCACTAATAAGTCTCGCTACGAATTATAATAATAAATAAAATCGGTTGATCCAAAACTTCGACAGGCGACATGCTAATAATAAAAATAATAAAGAATAAAATTTTTATCCGTGTATTAAAATGACAGACACAACTGTCACGGCCAGGGACCCTCTCGTTGGACACAGTATATCAACATTTGTGTTTAAAAAGCTTTAAATTATGCCATAAACTACATTATAAAAATAAAAAAAGCTCCTAAAACGCGTCACGTAATATATGGATGCCCCCCTAATGCAATCTCAGCCTGGGACACTTTCTATATAAAATTAACTACAATAGTTTGTTTACCTTTGGACTTGTTCCTCGGTCTTCTCCTCTTGGACGAGTCGGCCATGACCACCGAGAACCAATCGAGCAGCCGATTGCCCATGGCCTGGAGGGCCGTCGGCGAACATTGTTTAGCGATGGGCAAGGCCGGATCCGCACCGGTAATCGAGTTTGAGTAGATGCCTTTGTTGTCCGTCACTTCGTTATAGCCTCTCATACGCTCCTTGTCGTCAGCGTAAACATAATTGTTGTTGTCCTACGGAGAATACAAAATTAGAGGTTATTATATTATAGATAAAAGAACATTTTATCTAACAAAAAAATTAATTAAATGCTGATAATTGGTTTCATACAGTGTACAGTGCGATCCAGTTTACAAAATATATTGGTTTTCTATATGAGATACTCGTTTTAATTTTAGTTACAAAATATGAGCGCAATCACTGGCGGCGCGCGGCGTTTGGTTCAATATTTTTTGAGTGCATAATCTGTGTTGAAAAAAATTGTCACGACTATATACGTCTACAAATTTATCTTTTTGGGTTATCAAATCCTCAATCTATAATAATAATAACTTCCGTATATAGCGTTTAACATGCCTTGGGAGTAGCAAGGTACAGCTTGCCATGCTAGAGCCGTTCGGTATTCAGGGAAGTTAATGTGGCTAGCACGCTTCAACCGCCTATTATTATCTCAGGATTGTGAATCCCAAGTACTCATTTAAGGCTTAGTCGACCTAGGTACCCAAACTATTTTGATTCTATTAAAAATAGTCGGTTGATGAAATGCCGGCAGGATTCGAACCAACAACCTTGAGATTGGTAGAGAGAACTGTACCTCTACGCCACCGGGCACCTCAACCTCAATCTAAAACTGCAAATTAAAATCTTTTATTTTATTAAAAAACTAAAAACTCTGTTTATTAAAATTGAGTAACTGTAGTGCACGCAAGTGCCAATTTTGTAGCGCCTGAAAGTCCCAATTCGACGCTGATAATCTCAACATTGCAGAGTGCCAAATAAGAAATTACATTGCACATGAACCAGTTTGGTACATCGAAAGTCGATAGTGTCGCATGGAACAAAGGGTGTAGGCGGTAAAGTTTTAAGCAATTAGATATACCAGTAATATTCCAATGACTAGAGAATGAAGCGATTAGGCGAGGCGACGCGACTGTATAAATCTCGTAAAAGATGAACACATGAAACACGCATAAAACTGGCACCTGGTGAGTTACGTTTAAGCCTAAATGCCAGATAAAAGTTCTCCAATGTTTTTGTGCATAAATTTCAAGTCTATAGCGAAGCATTTTTGGAATAAGCAGAGTTAATGAAAATATGATTAATTAATAATTAAATTAGTTTAGGGTTTAAATTCGGGGATTCATGTGCACATGTGCAGTCCAATCGGTGTTTGTCAAAAGTAGTTCACCCCTATAATTTTGTTATTTCTTCAAATAAATAAACGAGATTTGGTAAACTAGTACCGTATGATCGAAAAAAAAACGCGTCCAGTTGGCTTGGAAATGACGATCGGTGACATTTCATATATATTTTACATATAAAATGACGGCGATCTTCATTGCATAGCCATCGCTTACGCCGTTTTTATTTGATCATACAGTATATAGAAACAGGAAGTAACCGAAAACAATTGAATACGTCAGCCAATCCCTATTTATATCATATACTAACATACTAAATCTCATTTTTTTATCTGAGAAAATAAAAGTTAAAGGGATGCACCACTTTTGATAAACATCCGGTATACTGAATATACGTAACATGCCAATTCCACGCGTGTTGTCATCTTTCATCAGATTTTATTCTATCGCGTCTGCTGATCGCTTCGTTCAGTGCTCATAGAAAGATAACATCTAATTGGTCAATCGAAGAAGTTTCTGAGGGCTTATGATCAAGAAAAATCACAGATCTTCCTGGGTTTAAGTAAGAACAATCTTCGGATTGTCACGGGGTTTTTAACAGGACGCTGTCTCCTCAATGGACACCTCAGTAGATTGAAACTAAGAAGAAACGGCGAATGCAGATTCTGTGGGGAAGATGGGGAAACACCAGTACACCTCATCACTGAGTGCGCCGAGACGACAACCATTCGTGCCATGAATTTTGGTACGACTGATATTGAAGATGGAGAACTACCCTCTATAAAACCGTCCCAGATACTGGCTTTTGTCAAAGCCCTGGGACTGTATCATGAGTTATAACTCAAGAAAGGGGGACACAATGGATCTGTAAGGTCGCAGTGATTAACCCCCCTCCCACTCATTCTAAATTCTAAAATTCTAAAAAATTGGTCAAACCTCTGCTCCCTGCGACACACCAGCGAGGTTCGATATATTTTAGCAATTCGTGCCACATATGTAACACGATCCTTTTTTTGCATTAAAAATATCAACTGTGTGAAATAATAGAATGATTTATCAATTTTCACAAATTATAGAAATATCTTGAATGAGATTTGAAAAGAAACTGAAAATTGCTTTAAATACACCACTACAGCACATAAGAAGAGAAGAATTTATAACCATATCTCTCAGATTCCTTCACATACACCGTAAGCTAATATATAGAAGCTCCAAACCCTTTAAATAGAATTCATAAAATAAAGCCTTAAACTGCAAATGCTTTAAATGCACCACATAAGAAGCGAAGAATTAATAACCAAAAGACTTAACTCAGACTTAACTCACTTGCAGCCGATAACTTAAAAATTGCTATGGATGATACATCCCTAAGAAAATAGATGATCCAGGCATCTCAAATAGACTATATACTGTTTGTTTTTCAATAAAATACCGCAAAACAGATAGCTGCTATTCAGTGGACAAATTACCCATACCTTATTGGGGTTTCTGGCTTCCTAAACTTCCAAAATGATATTAGCGTGTAATATTCAAACACAATAAATTTTAGCAGACGAGATTTATACTTTTTAATTTAATATATAAAATTCTCGTGTCACACTTTTTGTTGCCATATTCCTCCGAAACGACTGAACCGATTTTGATCAAATTTTATATGTATATTTAGTAGCTCGGAGAATAGGTTGTTATCTATTTTTTAAACCCCTAAGTGATAAGGGTGGTCTACCCCATTTTTTTTTATTTTTTGGACAAAATATTTTATTTTTATTTTTTTATGATGTGGCATTAAAAATACATACAACCCTAAATTTTCACTCTTCTACCATTAACCCCTATTTTTTAAAAGCGATATTAGTGATTCAATAATTTTCAACCCTGTGAATAAAAATGACTGTTCCCACAAAAAAATATTTGTATGGCAAAACAACGTTTGCCGAGTCAGCTAGTTTTTTTTACTAAAATAAGATCCTTTAATTTGCAGTCTTAGATTGACGACTTGATAGCTCAAAAAGGCACAGTTTTGAGTATAGTAGCATGACAATTTATTTTCCTAAAGTTGTGCTGCATTAAAGTATTAAACGACGCATCGCGACTGGCAGTGACTGTTGAAAGACATCGTCGCTTGCATGACTCCCTATGAAATCGGACCTATCCTTATTGGAATAAGAAAGTTACGTTGAACATTTACTTTTTCGGAAATAAAAAAAATTAAAACAGAAAAATCGAACCAACCTTATTGTATTTGGTGTACTTGATGTACTTGTAATGCTTGTTGTCATACTTGATATCTTGCGGAACAAATGAGTAGACGTCGTTCTTAGCAGAAGGTTTCTCTGGTCGAACCCCGTTTATAGAGCTAGCGCCGTCTCCGCCCTTGTCCAGCGTCGCCTTGTACTTGTTGATGAAATTGCTGAGCCGATCTGATTGGCGTTGCTGCTTTTTCCGCAATTTGTTTTCATTGTCTGCAAATTAAAAATGTCACGTTATATAGAATTTTTCTGTTGTTTTCAGAGCCCCTATGTTGCGATAGATTTCGTTTGTTGTTTTGAGAGCTTCTGTGTTTTTCACACTTCGAAAACATATTTTCAGATACTGATTTTTAGGGTTCCGTACTCAAAGGGTAAAAACGGGAACCCTATTACTAAGACTTCGCTGTCCGTCCGTCTGTTTGTCACAAAGGTCTGCTTTATGAACCGTTATAGCTAGATAGTTGAAATTTTTACAGATAATGTATCTATGTTGCCGCTATAAGAACAAATACTAAAAACAGAATTAAATAAATGTTTATAAATAAAAAAGGAGTTTCACTAAACATTATCTTTTAAGTAAGAATTTTACATAGAATCTTTCAAGTCCTCGGTGGCCGCGTGGTTTAAAGTGTTAGGACTTTACGCTGCTATGACGTTGGAGCCGTAGTAAGGCAGGTTCGAATCCTAGTCAAGGCAACTTTTTTTAATCTTTTTTTTTAATTTGTACATATTTTTACATATTTATTTTTACTTTTTACATATTTATAATGGATTAATACGATTTTTAGTAATGTGTTTGTTCATTTTTTTTATATTACTTATACGCGCATTCAAAATTTCAGCTAAATCGGAAAAAAAAGTTTATAATAATACAGTGTCTAATGTTGTATAGATAATGAATGGTACGGAACCCTTCGTGCACGAGTTCGACTCACACTTGACTATTTTTTTTATACTATCACACTGGATAATATTACTTTACTTAATTTTGCGGATATAGTTATAAAATAAATTTTATAGACTCGTATATTTCAAGCTACACTCCTGACATAATGATATAAAATATTTACAAGTAATAAAAGCTTTTTCTATTTTTAGATTTAATTTGTTTATATACATCGAAAGTGGGCTACACACTACACATGATATTGATGTAAACTTTATAATGGATATAGGAGTGTAACACTATCACGGGCAATCTCATGTAACCATAAACTGTATCTAAACTGTATTTACAAAGTTCCGACAAGGCGTCTGCCTAATCGTTTACACAATGAATAAACATCATTTTCGTTGCGGACAAAGCTATTATTGTGTATACATAAATACATAAATTTATAGATATAATACAATATACTGCATTAAACTATAAAGGACCGATCTAAAATAATGTTAGTATATTTTTTATTTTTAGTATAGCAAAATGTGTATCAGAGTCTTATAAGTAATGAAAATACATTTTGATAAAAAAAATTCTGTTAAAAGAAATTAGTTATTTTTAATTGTAATCGTACAGGATACTTTTGCAACAATAAAATACTTTATAAATAAATTCTTTGATGAAAACTATAAAAAAATAAACGTGTGTTCGAAAACATTTTCTCAACAGTTTTCATTTTAGGAAAATTCATAATACGTTACGGTTGGTTAATTCATAGTACGTATTTTTATTAACTTAATAAATATCTGAAAATTTGACAATGCCTGTATTTTTGTTTTGAATTATTGTTGAATGTAAAAATTGCAAAAAACTTAAAGAATATCACAAATTATTGTAAATATGCCTATGACACACTGAATAAAAAAGGCTTTTTAAAATATATCAGAAAAAAATAATATAGAGTATCCTTTAATAATAGACCAACTGTAGTACAATATACAGGGTGGTCCGAACTGTATTCCGGAAACTTAGCATATTTTGTAGATAAAAATATGTAAAAAAGTTCGTATAAATTTATGTCCTAAAATGCTTAGTTTTGGAGATACAGGGTGTATAAGTTTCATTTTTATTTCGGTTTTTTCCAAACCGTTTCTGAATTAACGTCAATATTTGGATAAAAATTGGTGTCGGAGAATTTTTTGACATAAGAAATTTGATTTTAATATCAATATGACTCCTACTTCTAGAAGGCGCCACCAACATGCGTTTTAACTGTTTTGAAGAGCAATAACTTTTCGTCCGTACCTGTATAAAACTACTGAGTGAAAAAATATACATTTTCGGAATTTTCTACGTAAAAAATATCTCTTTGTAAAAATCGCTACGAGCAACCGTTCTCAAGATATTTAGAATGGAAATAGTCAATATGATCATACTTATATCATTATTGACAAAAAATAAACATGTTGAATTTGATTTGATTTGGTTAGGTTCTGAGAATTCGTAATTTCAACATTCTGGGAAATCGAATCATGAATTGAATAATGACAAGTAATGTGACATCTGTCTAAAAAAGACAGCGATTTAGAGTGACAATTTGGTTATGTAAAAGAAATAGATATTCTATGAGTTTACTGGTTACCCAACGATTAATATAAATTATTATTATTATTAATTTAAAAATAAATCCCCTATATGAATAATGAACAAAACATTTAAACAGAAACAGACCACTGACCACACAAAACAAATTGTTAGTTAGTAGCAGTTAGTAGTAGTCAGAGATATAGATGTAGTAGTATTTTAGTGTAATAGCCAAAAAACATTATAAAATTATAAACCTAGAATAGTATACGGTTTTATATTAACTCTATTTATTTTGAAGTTTTTAAAAAGCATTCATAAAACATATGTATCCTTCAATTTATTTGATAAAGAAATAAGTTGGTACAATTGGAACGCATAGCAGAAAATTAGTACATTTAAAATTTGAGTGACAAGTGATTACTTCATAATATGGTTAAAAAAATTGTATAAAATTGAAAAAATCTAATCGAGTTATTTTATTAAAAACAATTACAGTATACAAAACAAGCAAGGGTGTATTTAAAAAAACGCCACATACCAAAAAAAGATATAAAAAAGATTTCCTGCCTTCAACCCGTGTTTCAAGCTCAAACAACTTCCTGCATTTTATCGTTGACTATTATTTACCTATCCTGTGCTGCTAGTTTACAGATACTCCAGTTTTTGGCATCCTATACATACAAGATAGAAAACAAACTTTATTTGTGGCTAATACAACTCTCTGAATATTAACTGTAAACTATGGTCTTGGGTTAACATTTAATTTTCCCGCTAGCTTTCATCCACTTAATTTAAAAAAACACGAAACACACGTCCTAAACACAGTCCAAAATGCAAAATGCAAAATATTTATCATTTCTATTTAACATAGTTTGACACAAAATTATAACCTATAATTTGGCAAGAGTTTGACAACTCTCAAAAATCTTAAGACGAGTTCACAGGCATCGACGTTCGTTTGTCGTTCATCTTTCCGTCAAACTAATAATATTGAAATATGATCTGCCATTTTTGAAATAAACCAATAAAACTGGTTAAAAACAACAAGAGATGACGCATGACGGATTTATTTATAAACCTATCCATAGTTAACTTAAAAAATATTAGAAACTTTTTTTAGTTAAATAAATGGATTGGTATGGACGTCATCTGCTTTTTTTCTGTCATCGTCTTTCGAAATCTTACCTGAGAAAAAAAAAACAAAGTATTGTTGCGGACCGGCGTGGACTCGACCTAACCTAACTATATGGCCCGCCCTCGGATGACCTTAACATCGCATTAAAGAATAGAGACCGTAATGATTCATTCGAAGATTCGAGAAGCATCGAGTTCTACTGAAATGGAGTAGTACATACGAGAACAATCAAAACCTTCTCTATGCACCTAACGATCTATGGACTATTCTAGAGACCTTTTGCTGTCGGTATAAAAGCCGGCGGCTGTGGCCTACAGAGGGCAGTTATAAATAGACAAGTACAGTTGACGCGCTAAAATTTAAAAATAAATTCTTAGTTATAAATCGTCTGTAAATAGTTCTTTAAGTCTTTTATCGTTATTGTTTTTGTTAATTAGTGTTAAATAAATAGTGTTTAAATAAATTGTGACTTTCTATCCACACGGAACCGACGAAAAACGTAACAATTGGTGTCAGGTGTGGGGTGTGTGATAGACCAGGAAAATAAAAAGACAGACAATGGCTCCGAAAAAATTGTTGAAAGATTTGAAAGTGTCGGAATTAAAATGTATACTGGAAGAACGAGAGAGTGCGAGACAGATGGAAAAAAAAAGCATTTTACAAGCTAGACCGAGAGACGTTTTGGTGGAGGAAGGTGAGGATCCTAACACATTTTGCTTTGAGTTGGAAGGTGACCTTGACTCGTCCTTACAAAATTAGAAGATAAAATTACGAAAAATTCCCTGGAATTGCAAGACAATTTAAACGGCAATTTGAATAGTAAAATAATTGACTTGGAAGTTAATTTAGAAGATAAAATCAGTGATAAAATCACAGAAAATTCCCAAAAATTAGAAGATAAGATTATAGAAAATTCTAAAGATATACAGGTCAGCTTTAATAATAAAATAATAATTTTGGAAGAAAGTTTTAACAATAAAATAACAGAGATTGAGGAAGATGTAAATAGAAAAATCGACATTTTGCGAAAAGAAATAGAAAAGGCAAATTCACCAAAATGTCAAGAAACATCGGAGGGACCGAAACTAGTCGAAAATAGGTATGCCTCAAAATCAGTTATGAAATCTCCACAGTTTGACGGAAAAACCGCTGGGGCCAATTATTTTTGCCAGTTTGAGACCGCTGCGAGAGCGAACGGATGGACAATCGCTGAAAAGGCTACCGCTTTGACTGTCGCACTGCGAGGAGATGCGACTTACATCTTTCAGACACTGTCACCATCGGAACAGGGAGATTATCAGCAATTGGTACGACATTTAGAAATGAGGTACGGCCAAGCCCATTTGGAACATGCCTACCATTCCCAGCTCAAAAATCGTGTTCAGCAGCCTAATGAGACTCTAAGAGAATATCAAGCTGAAATAGTCCGCCTTGCTCGCGTTGCGTACCCTGCTATGCCCGAAAATGTTATGGAGCGCTTAACAGTACAGGCTTTTATTAATGGTTTACGTGACAACGAAACAAGGCAAACACTTCTTTTAGCTCATCCAACGCATTTGGGAGATGCCCCAGCACGTGCCCTGGAATTTGAGGCCGCGAAAGAATGCTCTA